AACATCAAATGTACCATAAAAATGGATAATATCGAAAGTCTACCCAATTTTCAAAAAAGGAGATGAAAGTGAGATAAAAAGTTACATCTATCCTGTTCTATCTATAATATGCAAATTTTAAAAAGTGTTTGTGATGCTTTTTGAAAAGACAATCTATTGTCATGTCAGCTACATTATTAGCCCCAATCAACATGGTTTCATGAAAGGACGTTCAACCATCACCAATCTTGTAACAATCACTTAATGTATTGCAGAGGATATTGATTGTCAGTCTCAGATTGACTGATTTTTCTAAAGCGTTCGACAGACTTGACCATAGTATCGTGCTCAACAAGCTTTCGACTTTTGGGTTATCCAATGAATTAATTACCCTCTTCAAATCGTATTTTTACAACCATAAGCAGTACATCCAACTCAAAAGCCTCAAATATATCGAATATATAGCCATATGTGGTGTACCACAAGGATGAAACCTAGGACCTCCAGTGTTCAATATGTTCATTAACGATATCGGAGCTGAGATTGATGTCAATTTCCATTTATACGCAGATGACTTGAAACTCTATCACAATATAACATGTTCTAATGACTGCGGACATCTCGCTCTGAATTTTAATCGCGTTGCTACATGGTGTTGGAAAAATAATCTATCTTTCAACATATCCAAATGTAATGTAATGTCTCACTCACTGAAAACGAACTTGAATTTACACAACTATGTCATAAACAATCAAGTTCTGGAGCGTCCTGACACGCTCACTGATCTAGGTGTTACTTTTGATTCTTCCCTCTCTTTCAACAAACATATTGACACTACTCTAACAGCTGCTTATCGCATGTATGGATTTTCAATTAGAAATACATAAGACTTCGAAAAAGCTTCAACATTCAAATTACTTTATTTCACTTTTGTTCCATCTAGGCTGGAATATGCATATGTTGTGTGTAGCCCCTACTATCAGGTTCATATAAATCAACTAGAAGCCCTACAGAGGCGTTTCCTAAAATATATGTCTTTTAAACTTGAAGACACGTATCCTATTGTAGGAATACCCTATTATGAATTGCTTGAAACTCACAATTTTTGTAGACTGGAGGTAAGGCGTAAATAGTATTCATTTCTTTTTTTATTCAAAGTCATAAACCTGCTCTCAATTGTTACATATGTTGAATTTTTGGGTTCCTAGCCGGTTATCTAGGAATAGTCTCACATTTTATCTCAACACTTCGCGTACAAATATAATGAAAAAATCTCCAATTTATACAATGTGCAACACCTCTAATTTTGTTAGTCATGTCCTAGATATATTCAACTACCGAATTATACAAATCAAAAGACATTTCTTAGCTAACTGACAGTCGTGTTTTCAATTTTTTTTACATTGATTCACAAACTCTATTATGTAAGTTCATATTTGTAAATGCCACTGCTTCTCCCTATTCTGTAGTTGGGTTCATCCTGTAGAATAGTGTATGAAATAAATAAATAAATAAATTGTTGAATGTTTCTTTGAGAACGACGGTGGCCAGGCCATCACTGTCAACGGCGAGCACTAAGGGTCAATGATTACCAATTTCTTTTGGCCTAAATTGGATGATCTGGTTACCAACGACAAGTAGTTTCATCAGGACGGCTCTACGTGCCACACAGCTCATGCCACATTCCATATTCTGCACGAGCGATTTGAGCGCATAGTCATCTCACGTGGAGGGGATATGAACTGGCCACCGAGATCACGCGATTTGACCCCGTTAGACTTTTTCTTCTTGCGTTAGTCGCAGGTATATGCAAATAAGCCGCAAACCACAGCTGTCCCAAAAGCCAACATAACCCATGCCGTCGGTCAAATTCAGCCTGATTTATACGTCAGAGCCATGGAAAATTGAACGTTTCGGATGCGTTCCACCTAGAGAAGCCGAGGCGGACATTTGAAGGACATATTTCATATATTCCATACATAACGGCATCAATAGGTCTTTCAAACGAATAAAAAATGTTGATATCTCACGCACACTTTGTTTTATTTGAATTCAAAAGATATTTTATTCATTCATTCATTGAGAAAATATATTCTACAGGTCATGAGAGCCAATAATACAAAATGAAATGCTTATGTTAGTCCTGAAAAACAAAAATCAAACATAAGACGAAATCTATATTAGCATTACATACCATGTAACATTAAAAATCAGTTATGTAGTGTATTATATAGTGCTTTCTTAAACTGAGATAAGGGTAAGAAGAAAATATCGATATTTTGTAGACTATGCTTCTACACATATATTATTATTTGTTCGATATGTGATGAGAACGTTAGTTTTTCATCAAAGATAATACCCTGATCTCTCGATTCGGTAATTCATGCCAATGTTATATACTATCCAATTAGTAGTTATATACTTATTTGTACTGAAGATTTCCTTGCAAAAGTCATAGTTTAACATTTGCCTATGTTTAATGATAATTCATTCTTCCGACACCAATCATGTAACTCAGTGATATCGTTTTGTAATGATATACAACCAGAGTAGTCTTCAATCTCCCTGAATATCTTCAAATCATCAGCAAAAAGAAGTGTTTTAGAGTTGATACTATCAGAAATGGCATTATCAAACAGAAGGAGTAATAGTGGACCCAAGTTTGAACCTTGAGGAACCCCGGAAGTTGCATTGAATGAAACGAGTTGAATCCTTCGTATCCCACAAATAATTTTCCATCACTAAGATATGATTTCAGCAGATATTGGAGGCTCCTCGAAATGCCAAAGCTTGATAATTTCATGAGCAACTGATGATGTGAAACCCGATCGAATGAAAGACCCTAAATTCCTCTTAATGAGAAAGAGAAAGCTTCAGTTCAGGCGTTGTGTATTACTGACACACAATTGTCGTCACTAATTCAATTTGCATTTATGTTATCTGTATTTTGAATCAGAATGGCAAATATTCACTTCCCAATTATCACAAATTAATGGTTTTCCAGTTCGAAGCCATTATATATTATTCTAGTTGATGGAAATGATTGACCTCACTTTGTACACACGAACAAGAATCGTCTCCAAATGTGATCATGGGTACGCTTAGCGCCTCTGTGGATGGAATGCCGAAACACGTTGAATCTCTTTATTTTATGAAGAATCAAGAGTGACTTAGGTCCGGTGTTTTCGTCAAAATTATTTACATGGGAAGGGGTCCAAGTGATTTATATCCATCTTGGTGAGAATCGTGGCACTTTTCGTAGTTGAATAAGGAAGACTAGTTTATGAAGCGATCTCTCTTCATATCTTGGTTTGAGATGTCTTTTGTATCAACTAGACAGGATGATAGTCAGTTAGTTATGCTTTATCCAACTCTTTTACAACAGTTTAGCAACAAAAGAAGTTTGTTTCGACAAAAAAGTTCAATAAATGAAACTATAACAGATTATACTAATTCTAAATACATATTTGAGTATAGTGAATCTACAACTGATTCCAAGTTGATGGATAACATAAAATTAACAGCCATGCTGCCAAACTGAAACTGTGCAAAATAACTTTTTTTCTACCTCTTAAAAGCCATCTGACTTGTCTATTTCTTTCAAATCTTAGAGAAACAATAAAGCCTCAAGGGCTTATTGCGTTTTTTCTCAACTTTCCATGACACCCATTGTCATAAGTTTGTTAGCTGTACTAATCTGCTGGATGTACTACCTGGGCTCAAAAGTCTCGGGCCTAGCATATAGATGGTGCTAGTCTCATTGCATTCGTCGCTTTTTCAGTTAGTAATAACCTTCAAAAGAGAGCTGTTGAAATTTCATGATATTCTACTCATAAAATTGTGAGTTATTGTGAAACTACATGAATTAAACTTCGAATTGCTCCCACATCCACCGTATTCCCCAGATTTGGCTCCCAGCGACTTCTGGCTGTTCGCAGACCTCGAAAAAATGCTCACCAGTAAGAAATTTCGTTCGAGTGAAGAGATTATTGCTGAAACTGATGCCTATTTTGAGGCAAAAGATAAATCATTCTACAAAGATAGTTTGAACTGCTAGAGCGGCGCTGATGAATAAAGCCAATTTTGAACAAAAAAAACATGTTTTCTTTCTCAGGCTCAGAACTTTCCAGCCCATGTGTTATATCAAATTCATCAACATATACATCTAAAAATTTTCTAGTTTCTGCAGTACTGTCTTCAGTTAATCATTATCAAATGTAAGAGTTTTCTATCCAGTATGAAACCTTGCAACTGGTTGAAACGTAAGTCATTACCACTATAATAGGCAAATAATTTGTTCATATATACCAACTTTGCCGTATATATGCCGTATGCCTTGTACATTTCATTTTTCAAAATATTCTCTATCTATATCATTAGCGTAGAGTATAAAGAGGATAGGACCTAAAATTGACCCCTGCGGCACTACCATTTCGAGTTTGAGTTTTTCTGAATGGTTTGTTAGTGACACATCATTATATTTATGTGTTATGCTCACAAACTGTTTTCTGTTACGTAAAAAACTTGAAATCCATTGAAGTACAATACCCCTGACTTCATATGTCCTCAATTTCAGTAATAAGTTATCATAATTGGCACAATCGGAAGCCCTACTGAGATCGCAAAAGACCCCAACAGGACTTTTGCCTACCTCAAACAGGTTTACAATGTTTTTACGAAAATCAAGACTGGCTGACATCATCGACTCGTTCTTCTGGAAACCATGCTCTTTATCATTCAGATCCATTAACAATCTGATCCCGTACTGAAGATTTTGGTTGGTTTCCAGGATTTGTCGTGGTCTTTGATTGTAACCGAAACATCTTATAGAGTTAGTTTAGAGACAAATTAATTAATCAAACTATTGTCCTGGTATTTCCATAAAATAATGTATGGAAATTCCTTCGGATTTCGTAGCAGATAAAGAAATGTTATTACGTGTTCTTTTGCAAATTTTCTCATGCAATTCAGTTTCTCTAGAGTTCTTCAATCTCTTCTTTTGTTTCAGCATTCTGAAAGCAACTCAAAATGGCGGCAGCACAACAGTATTGCCTTCGTTGGAATAACCACCGTACAAACTTCATAAACGTCTTCGAGGAACTTCTCCGAAGCGAAATCTTCACCGATGTCACCCTTGCTTGCGAAGGGGGAGTAACCATCAAGTGCCACAAAGTAGTGTTGGCCGCTTGTTCCTCCTATTTCCAGACACTTTTCACTGATGCACCGAGCAAGGACCCTATAGTAATAATCAAAGATGTCAAGCACTCTGAACTCAGTACAATACTAGAATACATGTACAGAGGGGAGGTGAACGTGGCTCAAGAACAGCTGGCTGCGCTTCTCAAGGTAGCCGAGTATCTCGAAGTCAAGGGGCTGGTAGAAGAGAACAGGTCGAACAGAGATAGGGATAGATGTCTCGAGAAAGAGGAGCATCCGATGGAGCACTCCCCATCCATCACAACTTCCAACCCCACCATGTCAAATCCAGTTCACAGCAGCAATAATTCCTCTCCTCATCACTTATCTTATAGAAATCATTACAACTCATATGCCACCAAGCCCCAAGAATCCCGAATGAACCTCCCAATTTGGGCTGGTTTACCTCTACCCCCTCATCCTGCCTCTGTACCTAACCCCAGCCCGACTACTTCATCGATGCTCAGCGGGTGTTACGATAGTGCTTCTTCAGACATGTCCCCACTGAAAAGAAAGAAGCTGTCCAGTTTGTTGATGAACAGAGATACCCCTATTCTGAGAACAGTCTTGGGCCAAGCTCAGGCTGACTCATCTCAACCAGTCAGCTTGGTGTGTCATCCAGAAAACGAGGATCGTTTGAACGGAAACGACGACAGGCTAATGAAGGTGAGTGTTTTATATAGTTGGGGCAACACTCGGAAATACATTTTTACCTTATTTAGAGTATGATAACCAGTTCCGACTTGCATCGAATGTTCATACAAGTTGCGTGGAAGTAGCGGCGCGTACTCGCGGTATTTGTCATTTGTTCTTAGTTATTCTCATGATCAACTCGTATTGTTTTACATTTATAAATAGCCATTGGAATTAAGAAGCAATGAAAAAAGTATTTTCCTAGTTGGTGACATAAATTACCAAATAACCATCAAGTTCTTGCAGTACTTTTATTTAACGTTCGCGAAGTTCAATTTACTGTTAGTGAAAACGCAAATCTTCTCATACGATAGTGCATTATATTTTGGAAAAAAGTAAGAATCCCTACTAGAGCGCTGTACCTAACTGTAAAAATAAACTTGTGAATCTTCACCATGCTTGGAAGGAGTTGCAAAAAAAACCGAAATATTCAGTTTAGAATATTTATTCGGCATAGCACACGCTGATGCTTTGGAACGGATGAAAATAGAAGAAGATAAGTTGTTTTCACAAAATCAAAGAGAACCAGGACGTCCAGGTTATCCACCTCTCAAACAGTAAGTTGTGGAACTACTATAACAAGAGGGAGGAAAGACTTTATTGCGCCTAAGTTAGTTGCAACTTTTGACAGATGTCAATTAAGCATAAGGCATTCTGTTAATACACTTCAGGCTGTAGTAGAAGCACTAGACTACTAGACCTTAGCTGTGATTATTTTCCGATAAACAAATATCCCATTCAATAAATTCGCACACAGTTAGAAATATAATATAAATAATATAAATCGACATGAATTAATGAAAACGAAACTATGTGGCCATTGCTCCTAAAAACCAACTTTTTAATGATAGATTTCCGTTATTTTTGAAATTCGATAAAAGTAGGTACCTACTCTCGTGTTTCGATTTTAGGTCAATTGATTTCACATAACATTAATTTGTACTTTATAAAGTATTCTGTTAATACATTATATTTTATATTCAATTTTCAGAGATACCATGACTTAATAAGCGAATTTCCAATTATTAGGCAAACATGTTTATCATATTGAAAATATATATACATTTTTTAAAAACAAACTGAATCGACTGAATCAACTGGTGTTTATACCTGTCAAGACATATTTCAACTTGAAAGGAATTGGCAGACAAATCATACCTATTCAAACGATAAAGTTTGACTGGGTCAAACTTTTGTTGATCCACTAAAACGTTGATCAACTTGATTGATCAGGTTCTCACTAGGTTTTCCTTTCAACTTTCGTTTATCAACTAAACTTGACTCGTGAGAACGCGTCTTGAAAAATTGCCGGCATCTCACGTTTGTATAGCTCTAAGTGATGTAGGTACTTACTGAGTAATCATCCAAACAAGATCTATCACTGATTAAGCGCAAATGTTCACTGTTCCCACTGTCTTCGTTTCTCACTTGTAGAAGAAAATAAATCTAAAGTATGTGTTTCAATGCGTTTTTATTAACACCGCCTTCGTAATCGTTCGTTACTTCAAGTGTATGGGTGGTTGCATATGACTTCGCCATATATGTCATTGCTCAATGCTCATACATGCCGTTAAATCCGTAAACTTATGCATCAAAACAAGCGTCTGCTGACAACAGTCATTTCTCAAGGGCAAATTGAGCCACTGCACATCTAATGTCGCAATTCGTCATCATTTATCGTTAGCACTATATTTTGGGTTTGAGATTGATTTGTGTACATGATAATGGTGTCGGAAAGAGTCGTGGAAAGCGAAACACGACGGAAAATATTGCCCGATACACTGTTGCAAAAATTAATCTGATGTACCGACTTATTGAAAGAGATAAAAATTGGAACCCGATGAACCTGTCGGCCTGAACGGAAACAAAATATTCAACATTCGAATATAATGATATCGAATATGAGATGAATAAGGTATTAGAAGCTTCTGAAATCGATAAAAGCAAACTTCCAGTGAAAATTACCAAAATTAGTCGCTGGACTCGAGAAAACTAGAATTTAACATCGTAGTATCCCACGGTCACTTTTCAAAGACTAACGGGGGCTAAATGAACAACAACTCATCTGTGACGGAAGGCAGTGTTCTCCTTAAGCATAACCGTGGCAGTAGAGAAGGCGATAAAAGCGAAGTTCCAACTACCATGGCGACTGCTGCAGCCAACGCAGTAGCCTGTGATCATTCAACTAGCCCCAACCACCACAGACACGCTAGGAGTCCCAGCCCGAGCAGTACCATGCTCAGGTACATACGACACGTCAATCTGTCCCTCTCTCCGTTATCTCAAAGTGATCGCCACAATTTACGCAGAGAAAAAAACGAGCATGGAGAGGACGAAAACCACGTAGAAGAACTCTCCTTGAAGCGGAAAGAGTCTCAAGAATGAATGTAAAACAGAACAGAATTGACTTTGTCATGAAACCTCACGTAATATAAACAGCTTATCAAAAAATCTTCGAAGATACCCAATACTTATCAGGAAAGTCGTACGTTGTCTAAATAGATCTGTATGTCTCGATCACATTGTTCTAGTAAATCAAACAAGTTCTATCTGTATTTAACTCGCTTGCATCACAACATCACTAATAATTTCTCATTTCTTTTCAGCATATCAAAAATGAACCTTCCGAAGACGCTCAATCGCCTTACACCAATTTCACCCCTATGAACCACGAAGAGGACCAATCCAAACTGGCCATTCCGTCTACCTCACCGCAAACTTTCAGTCATGAAATGAGAGGTGTATCATCAGGCATTGCTACCTACGTTCCATCTCAAAAGCCTGAATGGAAACGGTACAAACAGTACACCAGAAACGATATCATGGCAGCCATAGAAGCAGTTAAAAACGGCATGTCCGCCTTACAAGCGGCCAAAAGTTTCAAGGTGCCATCTAGGACCTTATACGACAAAGTGAAAAAGTTGGGAATCACAACCAGTAGGCCGTTTAAGAGAGGTACGAATGGAAGTTCAAATTGTTTTCCTTACAATTCTGCTTCTTCCTACGGCGGTCACCTTACAAAAACCGACGAAGGATCAATGAACAACAACTCAGCGATGATGGAAGCCAGTTCTTTTCTCCAGCATGCTCTTGATAGCAGAGGAGGTGATGAACGCGAAGCACTAGCTGCCATGGCGGCAGCTGCAGCTGCGGCCCATGCAGTAGCCTCTGGCCACTCAACTAGCCCCAACAACCAAGGGCGCGCTAGAAGCCCCAGCCCGAGCCCTACTATGCTCAAATACATGCGACACAACAGTTTGACCCCATCCCCTGCACCTGGAAGCGACCACCACAATTCGCATAGCGAAACCAATGGCAGCTCAGAAAGAGATCACGAGGATGACGAAGACCAAGTAGAGGACCTTTCCATAAACCGGAAGGAGTCCAGAGAATCCACCAGGGTCATTATGCCTCCGATGAACCAGATTTCAGCAATCATGAAAAAAGAGGAACTTTTGATCGACAGCATCAAAGCGGAGGCCAGGAGAATGAACCTCGAGTGTGAAGGCGAATAAATCTGTAAATAATATGGACTCGCTGAGAAAGTTTTAAACCGGTGTTAAGTTTTATGATATATAGTTTATGTATGCAACTACGGATTGACTGATGTTCAGTGCAATATATCTAAAATAACTGTGGTTGTCCACCCGTACTCACCCTTAATTATTAAGTTGTTTTAGATAGAGGGAGGTGAGCTCGAGGTACTAAGCTATACGTTATGGTTTGTCCCAAATGAGCAGTCTTCATCAATATGTCTTACATAGTTTCTTGAAACACTTTGACTCATTTCAGAAGTGTGCCATGAGACAAATTAAACTTTTTTCATCTTCGTACCGAGGCTCACTAACCAATAGATTTTTAGAAGTAAACCGAGTGCCTACAATATCACGTGCAATGAGACCAGCTCATATTTTTGCTACAAGTTCCTGAGTAGGAGCCCAACTCATAAGACTGATAGATTTTACTACTTTTTTATATGAGACTGATGAAAAAGAGCAAGAAGAATGGTCCCATGCTAGATAATTATACAGAATGTTCTGTTTTGAATTTTTATTGGGAAAATTCTATTCAAAACATTCCGTATAAGCAGGTATTTGTTTATCTTCAGGATGTAAATACTTCTATGGATTGCTGAGGAGCATTAAGCCTTATCAAGAGGCAGATACATGATTGCATTAATCAAAATTGGTTCAATTTCAAATATTTTCGACATTTTTTTTATATACCTATATTGGGATGTCTTTTGCATAGAAAATCGAAGTTAGCAAAGCTGATGAATCGGTAGTTTGGCGCTGTTGAACCTGTCTTGATTGAATGCAATTCATGTAATGCCAGACCTCTATAAAGGAGAACTGTTAAAGAATAAAAGAGATAAGTTCAATGTGATTATTATGACATTTATGTGGTTTTGGGGATTTTAGGAATGTATTTTATTGCAAATAATAGAATAGGTAAAAATTGTAAGATATAATCTGGCTCAAATTTTCAGCCATCGGGTATTTCATAGACTCAACAGAGAGCTGTTTTTATGTCAGAGTGTTTTTATCGCACTGTTTTCAAATTTGGATCAAGTTTTACAGTTCATAGAATGTTGGTTAAAGTGAATACTGCCTTGGTTGGCAACAATGGATTGTTCAGCTATGAAGGCCATTTCAATATATTCATTTATTCCCATTTCAAGTTCCTGTCAGCCGATAAAAGTGTGAGTGTTCACTAAACCACCATATATCACAGTGCTTATCGCACGTTGCCATATGTCTTATACGAGCGGCCATTTTTAGCCATAGCTGTGATTTTCTAGACTGAAATACACGATTGTTATCACAGACCAATATTCACCAAGTTTGTAGACTGACTGAGAGGTCTAGTCTATAAAAATCATGCAGCTCATTACATACTAACCAAAAGTGCAATTTTTGATGTTGCCACCACGTTGAAGTGTTATTTATTTACTATTTTTGATTGTTAACAAGACTGAGACTTTGATTTTTATTCCCACTTGTCGAAGGACTGAATTGATATTTGCCTTCATTTTTAATTTCCATTGAAACTTCGTAGAAACATTTTTGGAAAATTAACATCTCTGTTATGCTAATCTCACCCTTAAACTCTTCATGCTTCAATTAATTTTTCAATCAGTCTATCGAAAAGTGGAACACAACTAAATAAAGGACCAATCGAGTAAGTAATGTGCCTTTAATAGCGGAACACACTTTTTTGAACATTCCATTAGGTTTTATATTTGTCACAATTTTTTCAAAATTATCAAATAAATTATTTAACCACCCTGTCTCATTCATATGTTGTGTTAAGAAATCTATGCCATTTGATTTAAGACTGATTATTTGTTTGTTTATTGTTATGCAAGTATTTTTAGAATTTTGTTGAGTGGGGTCGTCTAAAAACGAATTTTTCTCAGTTATTGAATAGTAACATTTCGAATGCGTTTTTGGATTATCCTAAATCTACCTAATTTAAGATCTCTTACTTACCTACATAAACCCAAAGTGCTGATGAACTACCTCAACTTCATTTTTATTTTAACAAACTGTATATATCTTTAAAAATATATGTTTCTTATATATAATATATCTTACTACGTACCATATCAAGGCATTATCCTATACTGTTTTTTATTTTCTGCTATATACACAACCGTACTGTTGAAATAGGTTTTTATTATTTAATTTTACATTTTTTTATGTATATGTTAACTGTTAGATATAGTTCTATTTACTGATTGCACTGCACTAAGTGATGCATTTTTATTATTAGTGAAAATAAAATATATATATTCCGAAACAAGTTTTAATAATAGTAATAATAAATGATTTTATTGAAAGGTTACTCAGTACAAGAGATACTAACCTAACCTAAAAAATCTCAGAATTCAACATCTGCACATGATAAATCAAAGCAGATATTGCTCTTCCATCCAACCAGCAATCTTTTGTCCATCTGTCAGTTAAACTCATTAACATCCAAGGCAGAAAGAACATAAAGTATGTCCCACAGAAAACGAAATAGCATCGAGACAACATACAGCATCAAATAGATATGTTCTCGGAACGTTCAAAAAATTTCGGAATAAAAAATATCACACTCGAATCCGTCTGTATGAATGATGAGTAATTCGAATGTATACACATTTTTTTGTACATTCGCATCAAAATTGAAGATTTCGAGTTTTTGATTACTACCAGCATTTAAAGATCCCAAAATTTTAAGGTTTCTATGATTTTTTGACCATGTTTGGCCGTATGTGTTTATTGAAGTGATATCAAGTGGAAGATCTAGTTGAAAATTTGTTCTTTGAGTAATGAATACATTGAAAAACTACATAACTTAACAAAGTAGGAATGTTGGTAGGTCTGAACACTAATGACCCTGACAGTCACTGGAAAAATTACAACATAATTGTTTTCTGGCGTTTAATCTTATTCGAGCGTGTATTCAAAAAAATATTCGTAGTGACGTCATTAATAATAAGATCTGCCAGAATGGAATGATTCAATTTGTGTCAGATATCAAATTCAATAATAAAAACAAACTTTCCCATTTTCTCTAACCTCAATTAGAATCGAATCAATGTATACAGCTTCATTTTGTACATCCTTACAACGTTTTTTTATGAAATGATGTTTTCAGCACTTTATAAGCTATAACGATCAAAATAAAGCAGAAACTGACGTAACGTAACGTCAAATTCCGTTTCATAAGCAACCTCACGCTAGTTTTCAATCATCGTGAATACGTTGCAAATCATCATAGTTGATGTGACGTCATCGTCAAATCACCGGTAGAACCTACGAAAATTAGGACCAGGCAAAACAATTTTTATGCTGACGGAAATAATCGACGGACAAATCTTTTGAAACAACCAATAATAAGATTTTCAGGTCATCCGACACAAGCTAACTAGAAATCACGAAATAAAAAGTAACTGAAGTCGATTTACTTCTACATTTTATTTTGAAATTTTCAATTACCTCCTATCGGATGGCCTGGTAATTACATTGCCAATAAAACGAAATCAAAAGTAGGTAGAAAACAAATTAAGGACCTAATATTCTTGAGGTCAGAGGGAAAACGTGGGTAACGTATCTATTAAATATAAAATTATTGTTCAATCGCTTTGCAGACACCGACATTAAGAACATTGTAGGCCCCTAATTTGTTTTGTTCTGTTGATTTATTTAGTGTATATGGAAAAAATTAATTTATACTTTTGAAGATTTTTTATGAAATTATTCAATTTTTCATTAATTCCTTCCCATTTGAAATAGTAGACAAGTTATTGTTTGTTTGACTAGATAATTTATGATAATAGTCCGTATATATACAATTACTTCTTTTAAAATTGATTATTTCCTTCCTTTCGTTGGAAAGGAAGCGAATTTTGTGATTCATTCAGAAACGGAAGTCCTTTTGATATTGGTCAAAATATAAGTAAGTACAATGATTTCAGGATATGTTAACCTCTTGGGAGGAGTGCGCTGTATATTTTCCAGCTTTATGCCATTGTATGGAAATTCATTAGGTACGGTGGTTTACCAAAATAATGCGAGTTGCCATGTTTTTGTATTCAAATGATTCGAATGAATAACTTTGAAGCAAAAAATCCTCAAACATGATAACAGTACTGAATAAGTCGAAAAAATAAGTTCTACAGGTATCTTCACGAATGGAAACCAAGTCTGCTTTCTCAGACAATGTTAATAACAATCAATTACAGATATTCAATTAACAATGCCAAACTGTCAATCTGTCTGTCTGTCTATTTAAGAATCTGTTTTTCCGTTAACCAGCTATCGCACCACTGCGAACGACAACCCTCAGTTGTCGAAACTTGTGCGAGCTAAGGACTAACGTGGTCTTACCTTTTAACGTGCGATTCCTAACAAGTTGAACACATATAATAATATGTCCTTTGTGGCAATATTTTAACCGTTTTCAATAATTTCAAACTTTTGAAAAAACTTTATGAATTTTCAAAAATATAATATTATGTATAATTATAGGTTTGGGATTCAATAAGCAGTTGCTTACTAAATGAAAAAAGATGGGAGATTTTCGGTAAGAGACTGTCGTTTTCACAATACAAAGAAATATTTAAAGTCCCACGCAAAATCATATTCATAACTATCAATCATTTCTGTTGACCGTAGATTACACTTATCACACTTTATATTATAAACAATCGGGAGCACAGACCCTCAGGTTTATCGTTAATGAAAGTCTAAATCCAGATCAAATGCGAAATGTCGCATATTTGTAAGTATAAAATATACATTGATGTCTTTATCGTTTCCGAGAAGAAGATACAAAGTTCGTTCAAAGTTTAGTAGACAAAGAATATTATTTATTTGCATATAAAACAAATGAACGATTTACGTGCTACTGATAAACAGGGTGTATCGTAAGTAATGCTTTCTTGTTTTCGTGAAGCACGTTGTCAAAAAGTTTTGATAGAAAATTATTTTTTATTCACTCCTTTTGATGTAATTAAAATCAAAATAATAATTACAGTGACATCTCAGAGCTATTATAATGCATAAAAGTATAACAAAAGGAACCATTTACCATATATTGAGACAATTTTGCGCTTTTAAAAAAAATGCGTCTACCAGAATTATTGTATCTAGAGTCAATATAAATGCGTTTATCAAATATATTCATATAAAATTTCAGAACATAAAAACTATTCCAAGTCTTTTCGCTATCTTTCCAAAACCAAAATATAAATTTCTTTCACTCTGAAGTGATTTTGCTTCCTTTCACTCTAGTATCTACATTAAATACTTTTTAACTTGAACACATTATGTAGCGCCATCTATAGGCAGCAAGTTTGTAATGACATATCAAATCGTTGATTCATTAGAAATCTTTAGTTGTAATTTGTTCCCGCCAAATGTTTATTCGCAACCTCTGCTCGATATGTTTTGATTGAGCAAAAGGGCAAATAAATTTTGCCGGGAATGGCCCAAACTCGAATAAGATAGTGCCAACAAAACGCACCTTTCATAGAGAGAACGAATATTTGGTCTTATTTCTCTTCAAAACACAGTATTTGTGTTTCGATAGCTGTGTCCATTAAGAATTTTAGTGTTTTGACTGCTCATCATCCATCAGCCTCAAAGAATTAAACCTGCTTCAAAAAAAAAAATAACAAGGCGCCTAAAAATCCCTGGTGTGTTTATAAAGAGATCCTATAAGTTTCAGCATCACATTCAAAGAGGTGCTGACTACACTTAAAAAGTGACACTTCGTGACAATGCAAATTAGTAGTTCAATTTCCAATGTTATATGAATTTGGGAATGAACTGAAATTAACTGAGAGATTTTTCACATTATGATCCATAAATCAAGGATATGAATAAAATACGAGCGACAAATTTCGATTCTTGCTCTATCTATCATTATGTATACAAAGTTGGGTCAATCCCAAACAGAAAAAATCAATTGTCTTCAAATACCTGTTTTTCCATGCATCTTTCTCTGGACAATAGTGTAATCCTTTTTTTATCTTTATTATATGTCTGAACACTACCCTCCATTGCATAGTGCTGTCATCTGTTGATGAGTAGGTCAATTTTTAATAGATTCATTTCATAGGAATAAAAATTAAAATGGAATTTTCTCTTAAATAAATTATAACTTTTGAAATGACAATATGTTTCGTGATAGAAGTGACACGTTAAAAGGTAAGACCTCGTTAGTTCTTAGCTCGCACAAGTTTCGACTTCGGAGGGTTGTCGTTCGTAGGGGTGAGATAGCTGGTTAACGGGAAAACATATATAGTGAAACGTAACAAATCTGTATGACATCATTTTAATAGTCATTAGTCGTGAATGATCCTAAAAGCAATAATTAAGATTAGTAAATATCTACAGAAATGAACGTGAAGAATAATGTTTGAAAATAAAATTAAAAAATATTCCCCAAACCGATATTTATTTTAAGGCGTATTTCATTTAGCATTCTAGTAAAAAATTAAATGTTTCGTGAACCATGATTTATTTATCATTAGGATACCCACAACTGGTGAGTAGAAAAGGAACAATGGTCATATGCGCCTGAAGATACGAAGCAACGACCATCCAAAATAGAGAGAGAGAGAAAATAGAGAACAACTAAAATGGGCCTGTCAGAAGTCATTTGTCATTTGACATCCGACGTCTACTTTCTTTAAATTTGTGTCTGTGAAGGAGGTATGTTAGAAAGTAAATTTTTTAAAAACTCATAATCATCCTGTTTTCTAGAAACGTGAATTGTCCATACAAATTTCACAAAATTTTGCCATTTTCTGTTCTTATTATATATTCAGGTATTTTTCACTAAAATTCTCATCAATATAAATAAATATTAGTCGTCCTTTTTAGGTTATGTTCATAGTTTATATTTCTCAATTTTATTCTAATTTGCAATTAAGTCATATAAATATGAATGAAAACGTATGTTTTTTAGGTCGCAATGGCAAAACAGAAGGGAGAAAAGAAGGGCAAATCTGCCATCAACGAAGTGGTTACTCGTGAATACACAGTGAACCTACACAAAAGGTTGCATGGTATTGGCTTCAAGAAACGTGCTCCTAGGGCTATCAAAGCCATCCGACAATTCGCAGAAAAACAAATGGGAACTCCAGACGTTAGAATTGACACTAGACTTAATAAACAATTGTGGTCTAAAGGAATCAGGTTAGTACTGTTATTTCAAAATGAGACTTGGTCTGATCACAATTATTTCTATAAGTAAGGAAGAAAACTTACGTAATTATTTCCATAGTTTTTTAATAAATATTGGGCTTGCATATTTTTGTCTGCTGTTCACGAAGCTGATCGAAATTTAGCTCATCAGTCTACTTTCTAAGATAGACCTCCAGTGGTTTGTCCGCCAATTAGTTTATATATTAGTGTGTATTTTATAGTGAGCCAACCTCATTAGTTTTTATATCCAGCAAGTAAAAATGGTACGATGTTTTGAAAGCAAAGTACTGGAAAACTTTTTAATTTAGTTCAATGTGTTTTCCCCTTTGGAAAATAAGTGCATGTAACCAATGAAATTACTTCAAACTTTATTCAATTCTGCTTGAAACATATTTCAATCGTATTGCCGCCAATATATCAAAGCTACTGAGCTTCATATTACGAAACTGCAAACTATTATCAATCATTTCAGTGAGAACGGTGTTTGTTGCCTTATTTCAAGTTTCCTTCCATCATATAAACTGTGGAATGCACTCTCCTATTGATCGTTCAATTAGAATGTTCAATGATGAAAACTTAAATCTAAAGATCACAGGTATAGGCCCGTCAAAATTCAAATGGAAAGGTACTTGGAAGATTAATTATACACCAAATTGTTAATGTAGTCACTTATTACTTATATGTATCCTTTATATTATTCTCGTCATTTATCTCTGTATTTTGAATTGTATAATCTATAATTCCGTTTATCTCAGTGCTTTTGCTCATCTTCACGTGCTTGAGTTCACTTCAAGTCTCACTTCTACAATTTTTAGTCTTTTCTTCGATTTTCAAATTCAATATGAATAATCATTACATTACATGCTTGTACTATTATGAAAGGGGTGATCTCGTAAATAAGTGAATTTGTTTGCTCTAGCTGAAAGTTCGTGAATTTCAATCATCAAATACTGCATTGGTTAGTTTAGTGCGATGCTCATTGTTTATGAGATGAATACTAAGTTTTTGAATGTAACAAAAACATTTTGAATTTCAGGAACGTTCCTTTCCGTGTCCGTGTTAGACTGTCCAGGAGAAGAAATGATGATGAAGATTCAGTCAACAAACTGTATACTCTCGTAACATATGTTGCAGTGCCAACATTCAAAGGACTTCAAACTGAAAATGTTGACGCAAGTCAGGAATAAATAAAATATAAAATTATTTTTAAGTAAGTTGTGTTTTATTCTTTCACGAAAGCTAACTGAAGCTGAATATAGTCTCTGTAATATACTCAATGATAATATTTCACCTGACATGTCATGGGAGAGATTCATTACAATCAAGGCTTGAAACAAATATTTGTGTGATACATTTCAAGTGTTGTTGAACCCTTGTTTACAAATATTCTCCAAAGTAAAAATTTTTTATAAGAAGTGTGCTTTGAGAAGACTGCTACATTTCTGGTGATTGGAAAAAGTGTCCATTTTAGACAATAGTATGACATCGAGAGTGCTAAACTTTTTTGTTTCAAATGTAAAGGGGTCTTGTGATGTCTCCTTTGATACGTATTTCAGTTCTCTATACAAATTCATTCACTATCTGACATAATGAAGTCTACAAACTCATTTCTTACGTTGAACAATGTTGCTGGATGCAAATACCTCTTATTCAATCTATGAATTCTGGAATAGGCTGGGTTGTGTAACACATACTTTAAATTCCATGAATCTCCATAAAAATCCTAGGTCATATCAGGTGATCCATTCTGAGAAAATATTTCTATATATGCAATGATTTTGGATAATTTTCCTCAAACTTTATTCGAACCAGCTCTTGCTGAAATGTAACGTCAGGTAAAAAGTCATTTGGATTTTCATGAAATATTGAGTATGACAGTATTTTATGGTTCGGTTGAACACTCTTCCAAAAATATTAGTACTATTACACCATACCATGGTTGGACAAAAAACTCCAATAGTTTGTTAAATTATCACAAAGTACCATCCTTTTTATTCCAATAATAAACGGTATCTAGTATAACATACGAAATTACCTCAGAAATGTGCCAAAATATATGAAATGAATTTGTAAACAGACTTTATTGTTGTCAGGAAGTGGATGTTGAACATTTATTGAAATAAAGAGAGGTAGTGAATTTTGAATGAGTTTTTTATTGAAATCAGATTTTAATAAGAATATAAAACTACTACTAGCCCAAGGACTGGTTTGACTTCCAAAAATAAAACGATGTTTGAAAGAATATTGGAAGACCAACTGAACAAGTTATCCACAATACATAAACATATAAATAAGAATGAGTATTTTGGAAATCTTGAATTATTAACCTCTGCCATCTACCTACACACTAGGTTCTGGTAAATGCTTGCCGGAACACAACTACTTTCCCGGGGAATAACATGCTGGATATTGAATTATATTCAATAGACATTTATGCAAGATACCTCACAGATGTTTCTAGTTCATCCAGCAGCAGGATCATGCTGAAATTATTTTAGTAGATCACCTACAGACCCGCTTTGAGGTATTACCTCTCATCGGTGCAAAGTATGTATATCTCCTCGGTACAGTCTTCAGACACGCTTTGATATAGGTAAGTATAAGACACAAACTTTATTTGATAGGCTTCAAAATAAGAATAAAAATATAAATAAAGTGCGGTTAAAGTATAAATATAATAGAGTAAATGTATGTTAAACTATATTAGCTTGTTAGGCTGGAAGTGCTGGTAGTAGCTTCTAGTAAAATCAACCATCAAGTCTGCTTGGCATTCTGGTAAATCACCCACACATGTACCCGGTGAACCCCCATACCTTGTGAAAGGAGGAACAACTGTTTCCGGGGCTAAAACAGTATTATCTTCAATAACACAGCAATCCTTGAGAGTACATCTGCGCCCCTGAAAATTAACGATATTCAAGATACAGCAAAAATAAATGATATCAACTCACAATAACGCAGTTTTTTCCAATATAAACATAATTGCCAACAATTGCAGCATTAACCAGGGATTTCTCACCGACATATACATGATCGCCCATTGTGAGAGGGAAGAATGCCACTCTGCAAGCAAAATTCAAACAATATATGGCAGATTCAAATATTTAATGAAACTAAGTTTTACAAAGTATTATAATAAAGTATTATCAGAGTGAATATGTTGTTAAAAAAAAGTGTATTGAAACTGAGGTACATTGAAAAAAGAATAATATATTTTAAATCCCATTTTTGAGCAGACGAAAGCATGGTAAACTAAAACTAGAAATTGATGAAATGGTTGAATTTAGAAATGAAATTGAAGATTTAGTAAGAAATTCAAATGTGCAGTAATATAAAAGGATGAATGGAAGCACAAAATACCAGTTGTTTTCAAAGAAAATATTTACTGTCCCGATTAACCATTTTTGGGAATGTGGGAATAAAAGGGATTTGTGCCACTTAATGTTCTGATTATGATTGGCTTTGAACTCCCTTCCACAATCCCTTTATTATTCGTTCTGACATTTGGTAACAGCGAGTAAGAATGATTTGATCATTAGTGGTTTTGCCCAAGTTTTCGAGATGTGTTTATTGCAGTGGAATGAAGATTATTTCGAATTCAAATCACCCCCAAATATCAGCTTTATGCCAATGCCATAATTTAAGTACTTCATTCTTATTGCTTTTCCTTCATTGTGAATTTAATAGATAATACTGACTTTACCCTTTGCTGAACTTTTTATAAGGTGGTCTGAGAACAGCTTCCTTGCTAATAATACAATATCTTCCTGTCTTGACATTAGCTAAGTCGCCTCTAATTATTGCCTCCGACTGCACAATAACCTTTCCTTGTAGAATTATGTTTTGAGATCCACATAGTACTGTTTGTCGACATACTTTGTTTCCTGAAGCCTGAAGAAAAATATGTTAATGTGAGAATGTTAGGAAAAAATAATGAACTCACAGTTTCGACATAATCTCCTTTATTGTAATTTATATCTCGCAACTCCATAATGCCTCCTAAAAATAAATATTTATAATTCAAACCCAGAAAACAATTTCATAACCTCAACTAATACTGTCGATGATGTATGTCCATTGTCCATGTCAACCACGGATCGCCTATTTTTTAGATCCTCTATAGCGCAATGATATGTTCAGTACAATTGTACACAATTCGACACAACAGAACGGAATGCTGTTATGAAGTACCTCTTTCGCCTATTTAGTACAATTTGAAACTGTTTCAACAGCTAGTCATTTTTTATTTAACAAGTACATTGTTAAGAAAATAGTAAGATCCGTGTTTTTAAAAGATGTTCAATCTAGTCTGGAGACTTGTTCTCCGACTATTGGAGGTTCAATGAAATGTTGGCGATGGGTAGGCACCACTAGCAAATAAACATATAGGGTTTTCTTTCATTTGAAGTAACATATTTATGATATTAAAAGATTGTGCTGTGACCACAGAAATAGGCATTGGGCCTATCGGCTATCTGTTTCACGCAGCAATGTCATAACATGTACCAGCCATTGAAGAGAGATCGTTCACTAGAACAATTAAAAAAAGATGAAGAGAGTCACATCCTGGCATTTACGTCAGTTATACACTTAACGTTTTACGTGTTGCATATTTCAATGTAAAAATTTCAGGATTTGATTTGTCACATGATGGTGTGACGCAGTAGCCAAGACGTTGTGTGATCGGCAGTTTCACACTGCTGGTGTAAAATAGTTAAAATTGACTTCATGTCCAGTCCATATATTATCCAGTCTATGAGTCATTGTCATTCAGTTTGTATATTGTTTTCGTTTTCTTTGTGATTTAGAAGTAGAGTTATATTGCGACGTAAAATTTTTGGTAACTCAAGATGGCAGACGAAAAAGATATCAGTAATGACAAGAATGTTAAGTTTCAAGTTTTGCTCGAGAATTACATTGAAAAATTAATGGACATCCTAAATAATCTCGAAGCACTCAAAGATACTATTGCATCCCACCATAAAACCTGTAACATAGCGAAAACTGCTGGGACTGCTGTAAGCGGAGCTGGTGTAGCTATGATTATTGGATCTGTACTCTGTGCTCCTTTCAGCGGAGGTGGATCTTTAGCTGTAGGAGCAGGTGGGGCTTTAATGTCGGTCACAGGTGGCATAACAAATGTGATTACCGATTATGTGGACTATCGAACAACTACGATGATTATGAATGATATTCAAAATATTGTAAGTAACAAAGAAAGTTTCGACGAAAACCTCACCAGACAATTGAAACACTTCGCAATGGTTATAGAGAAGTTGATTGAGAGTGGAGTTGATAAGAATGGGGCAATCATAATAGCTGTGAAGGGTAAGTATTTCTTCCCAGTGTGAAAGAGGATTAAATTGTTGTAATTCCATTGAGTCGCTAACTAGGAAGCTTGTGGGAATAGGCAGTTCAATATTGCAATTCAATTACCAGTATTATTTGTAAATGAACGAAATTTAGAAACAGCATTATTTCAAGTCAATGTTCTAACTGAACATTGCTTTGAATCGAATCAAGTACCTGATTGGAATGTTTTTGAATCAAATTTTCAACTAGGGTGACTGACTAAATTAGAATGAATGAACCAATGATCTAACTAAAATGTCCTACTTTGAATGCCTTTGTAAATACTCTGATTCTGGCTTTTATACACCTCCTAATACAAAGTCAAAATGTCATTGCAATCCTGTGGGAGGTCTAATTATTTGGTAACTGTTCATCTGTGAGTCACGCTTATGAATTCTAAACGTTGACGGATACACATTTGCCACCTCTCCTTAGTTTATTTACCACCCATCTACCCTCTCCTAATAACACAGCATAATAAACATTTCAATTCTTTATTTTGGTTATGACATCGGTCTTGAAGACGTACTGTCACTATTTCTGTGAAAAACTAACGCAAGGATGTGTACCTAAGAAAGCAAGTTTCACATCAAAATAAATGGTACTTCATCATTTGAATATTTTGGTCTTTTTTATTCATATAATATGTGAATCGAAATAGTGGACTGTATAAATTTAAGATCCGTAGGCAGAAAGTAGGTTTAATTCCAATTCATAAATTGTACATGACATAAAAATCAAGAAAATTAATGTCTCCTCTCCCCTTTCAATTTAGAACAATGTTCTTTGTAATCTCAAAAAACATTATGAACCTTTGCTGTTATGAAGAGTGGTCTTGAGAGAACTTGATTTCCATAAAACAAAAATAATATCACCCGTTAGTCCATTAGGGATACATATTACATATGAAGGATACCCAATAGGATATAAGTAGCATTATATTTCATATTGGATACGATCTGTTTAATGAAAGAAAATATATTTACTTCTATATTAGTAATTGCTGCTTTGCTTTCGTCAAAGACATTTGAAAAAAAGAATAGTTTGGTATATTATTTGATAGGGACATCTCTTAGAGTAAATTTATGATCTCATGCTGTGTAACCTTGAAATTAAATTTGAAAATCATAAGTTTCCGTTGAACAATTGGATCTCAATTATTTTAGGCATTGCTAATGGATGTATAGACCTAACAGAGGAACCAAACATGAAAATGATGAATACTCTAAGTACAATAATCAAATTGCATCACGTTGAGAGCGCAGCTCTTGAAACGCTTCCGATTATTGGAAAAACTATGCACTTTTCTGAAAAAAGTTTTCAGTTCATCTATAACTTTTTTGGATTAACTGGGCATACAGGAGCAACTGTTTTCAAGACAATAGGGAGAATCTCAAGTGTTATTTCTGTTGCTTTCACTGTTGTGGATGTAGCTCTTTTAGTGAAAGATTGGATGATAGAACATCCTACTTTAGAAGTAGTACTGGATACTGAGAAGAAAATTGAAATGGAAATGAATATACTTCGTGATCTTCTGGAGGTTATTGTTTCGTCGAAAGATGAAGTGCAAGATGTTTGGAAAAAAGTGTTGAAGGAAATTGAGGAACTAGAGAAGAATGAACTTGATTTTGAACATGATTTTGAAATTGTAGAGAAAGAAATTGAGAGTTGTTAGGTAGCTACTTAAATTTTTATAAAGCGACTGAAGTCAGTGATTTTATATTCATTCATATTTTGGTAGATAATAAGTTTTAAAAGATATTATAATTTTAAGTGAGTTTTACATAGAAATAAATGGTACTTTATTATGTTTTCGAATATTTTGGTATTCAGTTATCCACAGGTTTTGAGTAGATATATTATCTACATATTTCATACTGTGAAATTAGGTTTTTCAAAGTGATAAGGGTTAGGTGGATGTATAAAAGGTTTGTGGATGTATCTATCTTCTACTAATAGAACACATGAAGATTTTTTAATTTTAATGAAATATTAAATATATTACTAATTTTCAATGATTACCACAACAAAAAACATCCACATTTCACTTGATATCTTCATAATACTCCTATCGTGACCTTATTATACTTATGACTTCGATCTCCTTGAAAAATTGATTGAAACTATTTTAGTTTCAGACAGATATATTTTCAATCTTTTTTTTGAGCAGATCATGACTGATCTGTCATATTTTTAAAAGATTTTTTTTTCTCAATCAGGTTCGACTTTTAGGTTATGTAGGTTTAGTAACTAAGTGAATTGAATCTCGCCCACTATTGGATTAGTGTTATGGCATGTATTTTTGAATTTGGTAATAAAAGACTGATAATTAAATACTTTTTTTAAATTAGATTTGTAAAATCATTTACTTTATTCTCGTCCAGCGGCTGGATTCAGCAATTACTGTCCCGTCACATTCAGCGATAATACGGTTTCAATTGCTTTGGATGCAAGCAAGAAAAATCATTTTTCAGATCTTGACTATCAATGGCCGTTTTTGGGAGAGAGGACATTGGCAGATGAAGATCTTCAGATGATGTGGTCAAGGCCGTAGCCAGGAGGGGGATCAAGTGGGATTGATCCCCACCCGAAAGATCTATTCTAATAAATATATATTTTCATGTAACACCATTTTCTTTCTTTCGTTATTTTTATATTTCATTTTTTTCTACTGTCCCACCAAACCAACCCCCCCCCGAAATTGTTTTCTGGCTACGGCCTTGGATGTGGTGCTGCAGCTGAAAAAGCAAATGAGCCACTGGAATCAATGAAGTCGCCCCGGAGCGCCAATTAATTTTTGTTTTATAATTTCACAAATCAATGTATATAGTTTCAAAAAACTAAAATTGCCGGATTTTTTTTTCGGCTCTACAGCCTCCATTTCGAATAACTTTTAGGGCTGTGGTATGATGTTTCATTATTTAGATTCAAACATCAACTTTCTTCAATACCGATAACTAGTTGAAGTACTGTTGGAAAACTAAATTTTATGGAACATGAATGGCAAGGTTGAAAAATGAATTAAGTTTGAATGTAATCAAAATATCTTTTACAGCAATTGAATATTTGTTGATGCTTCGGTAATAGTACTTCAGAAACTAGTTCATCTAGTATAGATGAAGAGTGGAACTTTACAAATTATAATCGTGAAAACCGAAAAACAGGTCACATGTTATTGATTATGAAAATGTAATTAATCGTTATTCAGATGCAGAATTCAAAAGTAATTCCAGGTACATGATTTTCTATGACATATAACACTGTATATTTTGAAAGTGTCATCTCTGATTACACACCTAGTTTATACTCTAAATTTCTTGTTGACATCTTCAAACTTAAATGTCATATTTAAAAATATTCTCAACGTGCACTTTAACCCACCTCTTCAGATGTGAGCTTGCCGTTAGTGAAAGTATGACGTCATGAGTGACGTTTCGTCGCGAACTCAACGACCGTGGTAGCTATGTGGAACGGTATTAGGGGTATATTGATCGTTGTGAGTGCTTAGTGTAACACACGAAGAGACAGAATGAACATTATCTCACAGTAATTTTGTTAGGTTATATTTACCAAATAATATTTGATTACGTGAATAGCCACATTTCTCATCAACTTTCGATATTAAGACAATATTAAATATTCGAATTCAGCATACTCCACATTTTCTAATTAAGTTCCTTGATATAACTGACATTTTGAACTGTAATTGATCTTATTAGTGGACACTTTTTTGGCAGTCTTCTCTCGAGATGGTTCTTACTCCTACTCTCCCTTCAATTTGATATAAAAATGATGGAGGCACATGTGAAAGCATAAAGCCAGTAACAATACTAAGAAAAAGATTCCAGTTGTTAAATTTTTATACTTTCTACATCTTTTACCAGAGATGTATGACAAGACCTTTGGCTTTTTCAAATGAAAATTTGAGTAATTTTTGAATATTCATCCAGTAGATAAAATACCGACAAGTTCTGTTTAACCAGACTGCAAATAAAAAAATCCAAAGAACACCTCAAGGAGTTGAAAAATTGTTTTGAAAACTAAAATGAAACTGGAAACACTATCAAAAGCTTCAAAATAAAACTAGAGTATATATATTTAAATGTTTTTATTACATTGCTGTTAAACACGATCTAAGCAGTTTCAGTACGTGCTGCGGCAGATTCATTGCGGTGATTTTTGTACAGGTAATCTGCAAACTCCTGGTAGGGTGTCTTGGTAAGAGGCATCTCCTTCCACAAATCTGGCGTTAAGTATGCGTAAGTCTTTGCAATTGCTGCATAAGTTGCCTTGGCGAAATTACCCAGCGTACCGGTGGAGCCCTTGGCTGATGTATAGCAGTCTTCGATACCTGCCATCTGCAGTAGTTTCTTGGGAACAGGAGCAGAAACGATACCAGTACCACGGGGAGCTGGGATGAGACGTACAGTTACAGACCCGCATTTTCCAGTGACCTAGGAAAAGAACAAGAAATTAATCCAAAGTCAAAATAAGGACAATAAATTCCTTAGGAATGGACAGGTATCAGACGTTCTTGGCCATCATAGAGACGAATCCCTCTGGTGGAAACCGCGAAAGAAATGGCTATTCATCACGTTAAGTTGTAACAGTAATTCTTTATCGATGCATTGGAATGAAATAAAGCCAATAGAAGTACTATTATTGAGCCAGTAGAAGAAAAGTTATGGATAGTTGAATGATACTCACTTTGCAAGGCACTGTGTGGGGTTGACCGATTTTGTTACCCCAGTAACCTCTACGGACTGGTACGACGGAAAGCTTGGCTAAGATGATTGCTCCACGGATAGCAGTAGCAACTTCTTTGCTGCACTTCACTCCCAAACCAATGTGACCTTTGCTATCACCAATAGCTACGAAAGCCTTGAAACGAGTACGTTGACCAGCACGAGTCTGTTTCTGAACAGGCATGATCTTCAAAACCTGCAAATTTAAAAAAAGAATGTTAATTTTATTATAATAATGAGAAGGAGCCTTATTATAACAGGAGGTAAATTCAGATATGTAAAACCAACATTAGAACAAGTTCTTCTGGTGGAAACCGCGAAAGTAATGGTTATTCATCATGAGAAAAAAAAATGTTCATCAGCCTTAGCGTTATAAAAACAAAAGTTTATATAATTAAATAAAAGATATTATGAAAATACATAGTTCAATTGTAGACACCTTTCAAAATTATTTTTTGTCGATAAAAAACGTTTTGAAATTTATATTTACACTGAATTATTCAAGAAAATATGTCATCTTCTATTTGATAAAACTATTATTTTACAAATTAAATATTCTCTTGCATGTGACGTATATGTAGACCACACGACTATTACAAACAACTAACGGCATAGGAAAACTTTCAAAATTTCAAACTTTTGTTTCAAACTTTCAATGAAACTGATGGAATTCACAGAAGACTACTAATGACAAAAGGAGCAATCCAATTCAAATATGATAACATCGATGAATCAATCAAAGAATAAAAGAGAGCACATATTTTATATTGATTGTAATTGAATTTATGGGCGACAAAAATACAATTTCTTGCCTATTATTATGCGAATGTATCATATTTTCTTAGATACACTTTTGTCAATGTTTGGGGCGACCATATAACACAAGCATACTCGGTGTAGAATGAATGTAGGAATTAATAGCGAATCTTTAAGAACCATCATGAAATGGAAAAAATGGTAACATAAATGTGCAATTTGAATGAGATTACTCATATCTTCAAATATAACTGGAAAATATCTATATATAATTTTTCAAAACTTTTGAGTTTTTGGGATATACTAAGAATTATGGCATTATAATGTTAAACTCAAGAAAAAGTTCATTCTGTATGTTTTCATGAAAGCATTAATACTTTTCACAGTTGTCTCACACTTGTCTCAAAGTGTTACCTTAGTAGTTCCCAAATTTCAACTTTCAGAACTAAGATTGCATGTCTAACAAACATGTCGATGGTGTTTGGAAAAAAATTTGACCTTTGAGGTGGAATATTATACAGAAATCTACAAGAAGCCACATTTACTGAAACTGTATTGAGTGGTAACGTTACATGTCCTAGTCTCAATATATAAGAAAAAAAATTAAAGGTTTATCTATTACTCACCTCATCATTCAGTTCTGACCCAATGAAGAAATCGATGATTTCATACTCCTTGATTGGCAAAGAAAACAGGTAGATCTCCTCCAAAGAGCGGATCTTACCATCTTTTACCAACCGTCCTAGCTTAGTTACAGGCACCCATTCCTTCTGGTCTTCCTTTCCGCGACCACGGCCTCTACCGCGTCCACGTCCACGACCTCTGGGGCCCCCTCGGCCACCTCCTCTACTACCACCACCGAATCCACCACGGAAACCGCCACGACCACCGGCTGGAGCTGCGTCCGCCATTCTGAAAATAGAATAATTGTCAAAAGAATCTTTGGAAAAGTTATCAATGTGTTAATATATATGTGCGGAAGTCAGTCATTCTTGGCCATCATTGAGACATGTCTCTCTGGTGGAAACCGCGAAAGAATGTGTTATTCATCATGAAAAAGAAGTACCGTTTAGACTACAAGAAAATTTTTGAAAAGTAGAAATTTATAGCAATTGCAACAAGACGATTAGAAATTTATAACTTAATTGGCGAGTGAAGTTATGAAAAATGTCCTATTGATAAAACGTGCTCACTCATGCCATGTGTGCACATTTTATGTGAGTATAAAAAGGCTTCCAAAATTTTACTTATTCACAAAAAATTTATATAAAATAAACACGGCACAGCTAGAAACAAATCATTTCCACTAGAAGTGTTTTGTTAAGTAATTACCGTTATGTTATGAGTAATGATGCAGGAAGCCATTAAAATGTGCTTCTGGTTGAACTTCCAAATGCATTGTATGTAAATGTTTATAGCAGACTTCATAAAGAAAAATTTCGAAATCAATGCATTCAAAACTTTGACCATAAATTAGAAAACAATGCCTAGTGCTACTAGTAATTTGCTTAAAATAAAATTACTTACGTTTAATACTTCCTCCAACACTGTTGTCGAACGAAAGATGGGAAGAAAAGGAAGTTGTCTCTTATGAATGATTTCTCAGCGGATGTGACGTTGAATATTTACCAACAGCGCATGCGCAGAAAATTTGTTCTTTGAACGCATCATCCATTCGAGTTGATGTTCATGACCGTTCGAAAACACCAAAATATATGATTTAATGATAATCTTCCAAGAAAAATGAACAAAGTTCACTCTTCTTGAAATTCTCCAACATACATACCTATATGCAATTCTTAACCTCACCGAAAAATCGTCTTATTTAACCTCGTATAATATATTCGTATTGGACCACAGAACTCATAACTATATCTTAGATTCAGAACGCGCTTGTGTCTTTATTTTGGGCAAATTATGGGCAAGGGAATCTGATCCATATTAAAGAAATAAAGACTTAATCACACTTATATTTCAATGTTTATCTGTTAAGCTGGAGTGAGAAGTAGTCGGAACATATGTCATTAGAATCACGAAGCATGTGAATGGTTTAACAGTTGAGAAATGTCCTAATCCAGTTGAAAAAGCTAGAATAACACGAAAATAACTAGATCAAAAGAAAACAACTATGATTCTGCCGAAGAGTTATTCGATAGTTTCAAAACTGAGCTAGAGCTTCTCTGCATCTTAATAGAAAAAATAAAATAAAAGGAGAAACTAGGGTTGAAACTAACGAAAGGCAATATTAAATATTCAAATTTGAATGAAAACGTTCACACATTTCTTTCACATTACCAATAAAAATTCAAATACCTCAGATTAGAAACTAAGTATCATAAAAGGACTAAAGGACAAGAGAATATTCTGTATCCTGACATCCGCGATTAATGGACATGTACAATTTAATTGAATTTAGTACATTTTATTCTCACTCTAGTACAAATAAGTATTTCGGAAATAACAGAATCGAACCACAGAATACTTTATAGAAGATACATTCAGCACGCAACAGGAACTTTTTGAGAATCCCCAGGTGATTACAGTCAACCTAAAAATTTCGTCGAGTTGTTAGTTAACTCGAATATAGTAAAATCAGGCTACGTTGGTTGAAATTTCTGAAATGTTGACCTAAAAACCTACCGAGATGACATCCTAATAATTTCTCGACTGCAATAAATTTATATATCTGATAAGTTTCAAAAAATTTGAATGTACCACGAAAAATGGCATTACACACCTTGAACACAGAATATAGGTCATAGAAACTTGGCCCCTCAACATCAAAGTGCCACTAGATGAGTGTCTCTTCTGTAAGGTATTCTGTGACCGAACCACAGAAACTAGATAGTAGTTTGATATTCTGTGACCGAACGGACGGCGAGGTACACTAGGTATGTTCGTTTAATATAAATTTAATCGCTCGATTAGTTCGCTTCGCTCGGCAAACGATAGATAATGCACATCTGTTGTCTCAGTTACATCTGTTCTGTGTTCGGTATTTACAAGAGCAAGGAAAAAATGTGATCGGTTAGCTCCAAAATCAACTTTAGGATCAGATTTTTTGTCATATTTAAAAAAATGGGTGGAGTTTTAAGATTTTTTAGATAATTAAGTTGGGTGAAATTTTTGACTTGTCAGCTCATATTATTTTCAGAAGAGTTATTGGGTCCTGGCACATTCTCATTGATTTAAGGTGGATTTGTGGCTATTCTACTTCAGTTGGAGACCAAAAAAACACATATTTATTCATAAAAAATAATTTTGACATAAGTTGGTAGCCTGTCACCAATATAAAATCGTTGATAATAATAGAAAAAGGATTGGAAGCAAAATAGGGATCCTCGGGGTACACACGCGTCGTTGTTGAAGATGTCACAGACAGAATCATCGACTGTCACTTGTATTATGGAAATAATTTTTGATAAAGCCGCACCGCCTCGAACAGACAACTAATAAAAATTTATTAGTAAACTTTCATACTAAACATTGAAATATCGAGTGAAGTAGTCCGTAACTATCCATGATTCTTGACCGCAATGTTCCAAAGATGGGCGACATAATGTAAGAAAGTCACCTGTTCTAGGAAATCATATTGATGAGTTGTGATAATGCACCGAAAGTGTTGAAATATACCTAAAAACTGCCTTGAACAACTTAAAGATGAAAATATTTCAGATTTAGTTGCCTTGCTTCACCACACGAACGGCAGTTTGGAAAGGTTTGTTCGTTGGTTCAAAATTTCCATCAAGACAACCCTGTATGTTTTTTAAATTACCATTTGGCGTTACCTATAAATTTTGAAGGGATTTGAAATTTACATCATTTTCTAAAACCGTTTCCAAAACGAAAATAGTGAAAAGTCGACCTCTGTATTTTCCACTTGAAGAAATCGAGTATTGACGCATTAGAATCGTCAATAAAAAAACTTCCAATATACACTTCAAACATTTTATTCCAAATTAAATAAAGAACTAAAAAGAAAATAACATCAGTTAGTAATCTTGTCCTGATTACTCAGTTCAAATAATTTGGGTTAATTGGAAGGACAGGTGCAAGGCTTGAAAAAAATGACGAGTTATATCACAAAAAATTTATTTTAATAAATTATAATAGTTACCACTTCGCTCTTTTCCCCCAATCTTTTGGTGTCCAATGTAGACATTTGGGGTCTATTCTTATCTTTCTACTCTCCATTGCCATGAAGTGACTACGCATAATTTCTTTGCTAAGTGTTATTATATATTGCCCTTTGTAGTAGTTTATGAGATTGAGATTTTGTAAAGTTGAAATAACATCTTCTTTCTTTATACTTGTCAGTTCACAGATTTCACTAAAAAAGTAGTAACTGGTAAAAATCTGGTGCCAACAATCTTTTCTAAGAGAGATAAATACTTACTTAATTGTAATCTGGGGTTTTTCGTTTTCCCCTACTGGTTTTATGGATAATAAAATTTCTAATATAGTTTGAGCCCAATAGCTTCTATAGGATAAAAGTCCTAGATCTGATAAAGGCTTTTCTGGAGATCCTGTCTTACCTTCAAATTTAGATAATTCATAACCTGTAACAAAATAATATATTGAATAGTTCATTGATTTTGAGAAAAATTCAACAATTTTCAGCAGATCAGCTGTACCGAATTTAGTGTTTTAGAACCAGCTTAGATAATCTACTGATGACACATAGTTTGTTGGTTCAATTTATCCTTGGCACAAACTCCATTATTGAAAAATAAGCATACTTACTAAATTCAATAAGTAGTTTTCCGTATCCTTTCCTTTGATACGGGGGCATGGTCAATATGCACGCCACATTATAGTCTTCCGTGGATTCCTTCTCTTTAGAAAAAAATCCGACTATGTGGAAACCTCGAATATCAAAAACTGTCATAACATAAAACAGAAATGGATCCGTATCATAATACAAAGTCTTGTGGTCTAAGAATAGTTTCGCTAAGAGACACAGGTTTTGAGCATATACTTTGTTTTTCCTACCATCTATCTCAAAAAAAGATATATTTTCTTTTCTATATATTTCGTTACCAGGAGGATGTCGGAGGTTACATTTGGCCAAGTGTCGCTCAAGACATTTTCGGCTTTTTCGGTATTTCAGACAAAATTCACATATATAAATGCAGTCCAAGTTTACCATTTCCTGAAAAATATCAATGCAATACTATTTTATGAATACAAGATAGGAACGAAGTAATAAAATCATTTGATACAAATTATTTGAAACACTTTTTCCACACCAGAACAAAATCATGTCACTCAACGTGTGTTTCGCAAGCCAAGTTAGCACCATCAGGAGATGACTAGTCATCTAATGACTAACTTGGTTCGCCAAACTCGCTGGGGAGGAGGGTCTTCTAGGCACTCCTAGAGTGCACTCCTAGAGTGCCTAGAAGATGACAGTACTACCAACTGTCGAAAGCGCTCGCAGATAATTAATAGAAGATATAAAGCTTCAAATCCTTTTTGTAGAATTTAATATTGAGTATGTTTTACAGGTACTAAGAGGCAACTAGATACTTTTCATGGGGATATTAACAAAACATGAAAACGTTAAATTCACTATTGAAACAGAAACAGACAATTCAATCAATTTCTTGGACCTAACAATTAGTAGAATGAACAACAAACATTATTTTTCAATTTATCACAAACCGTCCTATACGGATATTACTATACTTTACGATTCTACTCATCCTCATCAACCCAAAGTAACAGCTTATAGACAAGACAAGACAAGACAATTTATTTTCCACTGAATGTTACAGTACAAGTACCATACATTATGTGAATCGTCACTAATAAGTAGGTTATAATAATATTACAATTTCACTTTTTGGTCATAAAATAAAATAAATTAATATAAATAAATAGGTACATGTACACACTTTAAAAATTATAAATGAATTATAAGTTTACCAATACTAATTAGAATTATTTATTAAAAATTTGAATCAAAAGACTACTGTTTCATGTGGTCCGAGTCAAAATTTTCATTCAAAAACTCCTGAACTGAATAATAGCATTTCTGTACTAAAAACTTTTTTAGATAATTTTTAATAAACTTGTGCTGAGTTCTCTAAATTTCTTAATTTCACATATTTTATTGTAGCATTTGATTCCTATATAATTGGGATTCTCCTGTCCGATTGATAATCTAGAGAAACATAAATTGATGGTGTCCTTCTGTTGCGTATTATGATTGTGAACATCCTTTCTTGTTTTGAGAGAGTTATGTTTATTTATGATGTGAACAATTATTGAGTAAATGTACAAGCTTGGTAATGACATAATACCCAGCTCAACAAAGTGGTTTTTACAAGATGTTTTGCTAGATAAATTCAGCATGCACCTTATAATTTTTTTTTGAGTGATAAATAATTGACCACTATTATGGGCTTTTCCCCAGAAAATCAGACCATATGACAGGCATGACTGAATAAGGCCAGAATATAGTAGTTTCAGTACTTCCATTGACACTGTGTTACGCAAGTTTCTAATAATGAAGCAATATGAGCTCAGTTTTGAGGATGTATGTTCAACATGATTATTCCATGTGAGTTTTTGATCCAAGTGGACCCCTAAAAATTTTGTACAAGTCGAGTTTTCTAATGATGTTTCTTCAGTTTTAAGTAGTATGCTCTGGTTCACAGTGGCATTTTTTGTATTAAACAGCTATTGACTTGTCTATATTCAGAGATATGTTATTATTACCACACCATTGGTAATAGCATTATTCACAGATTAGTCAATGTTCCTTTTTCAATAGATAATTTCAATGAAGAACTTAATATCATCAAGCAAATTGCAGTTAAGAATGGGTTTAAAGACGAATTGATTAACAAAATACTTGACAAGAAAGTCTAATCAAAAGAGATTTGATACGTTTTTCCTATTGATAAGGTAGATAATCAAAATTATAGAGCTTTAACGTATTTTGGACAACCAACGGAAAAAATGGCTTCATTTTTGAGGAAAAAAAAAGGAAAAATATCTAGTTGAACTCAAATTTGCAAAGTTTGCATACTATCCGAATGCTAAGTCCATGAATTTTCCCTGCTTCTGATGATATCACATTCACTTGATAAATTATCATCTATATTGTACACTTGACCCGGATGTCACGCAGGTAGCTAAAGCTGTCTTGTGGTGACTTTGGTGATATCTCTAACCCTAGCTAAACCACAAAGTGTGGCTTCAATTAAACCCGGATTTGATTAAAACAGTTTTAAGTGATCTTTAATCCCATTTTCACCAGCTCCATGTTCAAAAATCTAAAATTGGATCATCAAAAAACTCAACAACACAGTATCTTTTTCCGTTTTCATATTCCATCTCAAAAAAGAAATATTCAAATGAAATTCAGACCTCTATTCCACCTTCTCACCTGTGGATAAGGGGCAAAATACCATGGCTTTATTCTATGCTTCCCCAACTCTATCAGTTCAATGTTTTTCATTCTGGTAACTAAATCGTCATGATGTGAAACCATGCTTCCGGACTGTCTTGGTCCAGCAGGAGGTACCATCATCCCAAGAACGTCCTAAAAATTACGATAAAAGAATGAATTCTATTGGAAAGTCATATGGGTGGACACTCTCAAAATCGTTTGTGGTTTATAAAATTCTTCCAGTAGGATATAAATTAATCAAGATAACTTCAACTGTGACAAGTAGAGTTTTTGGGCTCCTGTTCGAAAATCAAAAATATTACCTTAGCAGTGACTTCATTTGGTATTTTTGGCACCTACAAAAACAAATATAACAAAATACATCCACACTGATAACTGTATTAAGAATCCAGAATCGTAAGGTGGATTCATGCACCAGTCGGTCACAAGTCGTAAGTAATAAAAAATAATAATAATATTCATTTCGGTTGTTCACTCATGAGCACATTGGCTGTGGACCTGTGGACATTACTGGTAGTAACAGATACGGTCCTGAAAAGGTTTTTTTGTGCTCAAAACTGATAGTGACACAACTTATTCTGTAGAAAGAGGACTATACAGTCCAAAATAAATCAATCTGTATTAGTATTTCCCATCAAGGAACATGATTTTCTGTGAATTTCGATTGAGTGAAGCTCTCTTTTGAATTCTCAAAATATTTGTAGCGGTGACATTTGCATTTACTCTTGAACTGCTCGGTGCAACAGTTCCAAGTCAGGATACCGTTTCCAATGAGGCAACATTCTGCCTGTCTTTTCAAAGAGAATAAATGTGGGATCATCAGCAGACAAAACTTATTTGTAGAACTACATATATATAAAGAATATTAATGGTCCCAGTACTGATCCTTGGAGGAGGCCATTTTTAACTGAGCTGTATTCAAATATTGAATTATTACAGTTGACTGCTGAGTTATGATTAGATAAATGAGTCTGAATGAGAGACAGAGATGCTCCTCTGAAACATGAGTTCTTATGACTTGACAGTTGAGAATTGAGACTGGTGTATGAATCAATCTTAACATTTGCAAGAATTCTTGGGGAAAAATTTCAGATCAACTGTTTCCTCTTTGATCTATATGTATACCTGGGAATCTTCATTTTCAATCGTGGGTCCCTTTCGTTTTCTATTTATTCGTTTTTGTAGGGCAGCTGCTAAAACTGCGTTACCATTAACTAGTTCTATGTTGTTTACAGGACTAGAAGGTCTGGAGATGCTTCCTGTTCCCATTTGTACCTTTTTGGGGGTAGATACCCCTGTGTTAGTACCACCTACATCTTTCCTAGGAAAATGGACCTTTCTTGTGTCTAGTGATTCTTCTGTGACCCATTCGTCTAAACGTTTATTGACTAAAAAATTTATATATGTAGCTATTAGTGGAAAGTATTTGAAAATACTCATACTTACAATCTACATAATGCACATAGTAACACTTGGAACCATTAACATCTTTTAAGCTGATTATTTCAGCCAGTGCTAAAATGGAATATTGAGGATGAATCTTCTCGATATTTAATATTCTAACTTACGCCAATCATTGGTTCCTGTCATATGCACCGGGAGCCTGCATCCTTCTACTAAAGAGGACTGAAAAATAGATGGATAAATGCAGTTGAGTATTGAGGTTAGATATTTGAGTTACATATATTTAAAATATAAAAATCTCAGTTTTAAACTTACCACAGAATCACATATAGTGCTATCATCCATATCATCCATTTCGACTTTCATTAGTCACAATTTTTTTAATAAATAAATTTGTTATAAATGCAACAAACTGAAATACGTAAACATGTCAAATTCAAAATGCACAGATCACAACAAATATGATGTCAAAATGTGAATTATAGTCAAAAATCAAAATTAAAAATTCATGTGTCAAAGTAAAGTCTTATATAGGTACAATGCTTTCACGTTATTTCATTTATTTTATATGAAAGATAACTACTATTTACGATATTGTTTTCAATATTTGTAACATTTTTGAGAGTTGAACGTTTGAAATCCCTTTAAAATTTTATATTTTATCTCTAGGGTTTCTGTTAAGAAGCTGGAATCTCCCAACTTCATCATCTGAAAATTCCAAATATTTAGATTCGTGCAATAACAAATTTCAATTTTTTTTTATGATGATTGGAATGGAACTATGAAAAATACAATGACACGGCGGCATGATTTCAATGGTCCTTAAACCCGTGATATTTCTTCTAGTTTGAAATTGCTCAGTGCATTGTTTTCCAAGTCTTTGTCTTGTGTTCAAAATGTGCCACTGAAAATTGCAGTAAACAAAAATAACTGCTAGGCTCTAAATTTTAAAAGGTTCTTAATGGTTCAAATATTTCCGCTAGGTTTCATAACTCAATATTTTCATTATCTGTCATGCAGTGTTCCGTTAACAAGTTGGTTAACCAAGCGGTTTACCTAAAGTGACGGAGTGCTAATACCTACTTAGTTCGTTTGACAAACACCGGTAAGGGACGTTTTTCGGCAGGACTAAAAGTTTGACATGTGATGGAATCGGCCGATGAAAATCCATAACGTATACAAGAAACACTTTATTGTGAAATTTTCACTAAACAGTTTTACAAAAACTCAACACGTGTTTCACTATAGAATAGCCTCCTCAAAAGTACCTTCACTAACTATTTCAACACGTGTTTCATTTTCGTAAAACTGTTTAGTGAAAATCTCACATTACAGATGAAACCTCAGAGTAATGATATAAATTATTACTCTGAGGTTGAAACGAAATTTGACATTACGTTACGTCAGTTGTCAGTTTCAGATTTATTTTTATCGTTATAGTTTATAAAGTCCTGAAAAGTTGTAAGGATATACAAAATGAAGCTGGAAAATTATTACTTGCACAAATCCGATTATAATTGACGTTAGAGAAAATTGAAAAGTTTGTTTATATTATTGAATTTGACATCTGACACAAATTGAATCATTGTATTCTAGCGAATCTTATTATTATTGACACGCTCGAATACAATTAAACGCCAGAAAACACCTGGGGATTTCATGTGGAACACATACATTTTTTCTGAGTTGCTCCTATGTAATCCGCAGTATTTGTCATCAGTGTCTGACACAGAAATTTTTCGAAACGTTACTTCAACTGAATATCAGGAAAATTGGAAGTGAAACGAAATAGCAAATAAAACTAAAAAATGGGCAATATTAATATTATGACAATTGACACTAACGACAAATACGCAGTGTGGCCATCATTGAAAAAAAAATACATGTGCCTAAAGGAAATCCCGTGTTCCATCGATAATAATTAATGAATAAACAGATGTTATTTTCAGCTAATTACCTTTTCAACATTATTTTTCAGTTTTCAGTGTTCTTGTTTTTAACATGTTCTATTTTTTTCACTTCTCATATGTTTTTATTTTTCTAAAGAGCTAGAAAACATCTGAAGGAACTTTTCTTGTATTATTACATTGAAACTAATTGAAATATTTAATTCAGCCTCAGCTCTCACACTGCTATTGAAGATTCTTTGTAATTTTTTGAAGAAAATTTTTGAAAATGTTGAGAACGATCAATAATTTTTACCACGGAAGAGTCTTATTCAATTTTTCAAAGTCATCTCAATTGTTATTAATGTTATTCAAAAAGTCTTGTTTTTTACCGGAGAAATAGTTCTTCGCCCCTCCATTCAATTTAGTAAATTGGTAGGTGTGACGATATTTGGCCATCAAATTATCCTGGTTGTGAAATACTTTGAAACATCAGACACCTGAATTTGTTGAATGAAATGCCACTGAACTGTCTCAGTATTCTAGTTGAATCGAGGTAAGGATTTTAAATGTCATGCAACTATATATTTTATCTTGCTAGCCTATTAAGTTAAATACTTTATTTAACGCGAAAGGTTAAATGTTATCAAAGTGGATAATAGATGTATAATATAATAAAACATCAGTGACTGGCCTCTTTCTTGTACAGTTTCAACTCTCTCAGTCCTCATCAAACTGGGTTCACAGTCCCTGTGTCCTGAAAGAACTATGGAAAATTACACATCGGATAGTAGTGACAGTGAGAATAGTAACAAAGTAGTGGACTATGCTTATTTGCTTCAAGAACCGCAAGTTGTTGAAAAGAAGTTGGAAGAATACTTTGGTGAAAAGAAGCTCTTCCGGGACATCGAAAAACTGATACTGCACCACAATCAACTCTCATCTCTTCCAAATAATCTGAAGAGGTTTTCAAACACAAGAGTTTTGGATATAAGCAATAATGGATTGGTGGAACTGCCAAATATACTGGAATACTTGCCACTGACCACACTCGTTGCCAAAAATAATAATTTGAAATACAACTCCTTACCGAAGAACTTCACGAAATGTGGGACGCTGAAGGAGTTGAATCTGAGCGGAAATCAGATAACACATTTTCCCGAACAGATATTGGAATTTGTGAACTTGAAGTTTTTGTACATGGGCGGAAATGGATTGCAACAAATTTCAAAAAGTATATGGAAACTAAAAAAGTGAGTCCTAACATCCATTGTGATATTTTAAATTTGATACTAAGTATTATCATTCTTTTTCATAGTAATTTTGAAAGTAAGTATTTCCATATTATTTTTGTTTGTCATACACTTTTTTTTATAAGATAGGACATACAAATTCACCTTTATTTATAGTTAAATTCAATTATATTTTAAATTGTTATCTGAATGGGTGAAAGATTCATTGGCATGATAATTAGGTTCAAGGTTGCTAAGCATTTTACATCATACTAGCTTTAGAATGTTTTCAATAATATATAAACAGAAGTTATTAAACTATTTATTTTTCAATATCTAGTTTTGTCTAAGGACCACTTTACAAGTTTTTAGAAAAGGTAGAAAGAACGTTGTAGGAAATGACTGTTTTGTTGTTTTTAAAAATATTCGAGATAATTACTCTTTTGCACGCATTCAAACCAATAGCATTGAAAGTTTTTGCTCTCCAATCAAGGAGAACTATTTAAATCAATCTGATCATTGAGCAATAATCCCGAATTTTCACATCTATTGATTTATAATCATTCCAAAAGATTGAGTTTTGAACCTTTCTCTTCCAAATGCAATACGTCATGATCGTAATTGAACTGATGTCTCTCTGTCAAAGAATGATTTGAAAATGTTGAATTGGTTTTTCTATTCTAAAAACTACTTATATGCTCTTTTATTCATTTGAAAAAAGTTATTCTGGTTTATCCAATATAAAATTTTGGTTAAGAACCACAAGTCAACTTGTACACTCTCGATATATCTGATACTGAAGTTTCATCTTTATTGTTTTCAATGAATTTACTCAAATTATTATTTGTATTATAGGCTATATCCAATTCTTTGTCTTTTAAAAAACAAGCAATATTATCAGTACACTATGTACATCATGGCTGTTTGTGAAATTATAGGCAACTTTTTTATATTTGATTGACTTTGTATTTTCTTTGCCTTCACAGATCTCTCCAAAATGAACACCATGATAAATATTATTCTAGCTCTCTGAACATTATCAATAAAAACCATGTGTGTGACACATGTACATAATTTACATTATAAAATAATCATAAATAATTTATTGTCCTATTTTTGTTGAGTGAAGCACTATCTTTGATTATTTTGTTGTTGTACCTATTTTCGATGTCTGTTCAAAAAATGAGGTGAATTTTCATTTAAAAAAAAAAATTATTTATTCATCAATTTCTATTATGTCCCTTCAAAGTAGTCCCTCTCAGATATAATATACTTGTATCAGCGTTTTCTCCAATCCTCAAAGCACTTTATGGTATGTCTCCTCAGCGATTCACTTTTAATCTTCTCAATCGTCGCTAAACGCCGTCCTTTCATGGTTTTCTTCAGTTTTGGGAAGAGGAAAAAGTCACTAGGACCAAATTTGGTGAATACGATGGCTGAGGCATGATTACGGTCTTGTCATCAAACAGTCCCTGAGCGATGTTCATGCGACGGTTTTTCCACAATACCAACATTAAAAAAACGCTAATCGAATGTACGTAGCCCGCGAAATTCGAACATTCACTTTATTTTTTTAACAGATCTCGCACTCCACTACTATTTTACCATTTGATGTCAAAACATGTTACCGTAACTCAAATTCGGTTTTTCCAATACTGTTTTTCTAAACATCTGTATACTCTAAAATCCTCAAATAAGTAACCTTGTATATAGAAACCAAGCCTCTGTTTTAAGTACTTATTGGATCTAATATTTTTTAATTCTATAAATGTTAGTGTAGTGTTTGTTTTAAAATACCTTTAATTTCAGTATACTTAATTCAGTAATGATGATGATTCCTTTTGATGTATTAACAAATTATGTTAGTTTGCAGGTGGTATACTTCGGAGGAAACCAATTGACTGAAGTGCCTTTGAGTTTAGGACAACTACAGCATTTACAAGCCTTAGTATTATGCGACAATCAAATAGAAAATTTACCTTCCAGCATAGCCAATTTGCACAAACTGAAATCGCTTCTCTTACACAAAAACAAGCTCAGAACTCTTCCACCAGAAATTATTGCATTAAAAAATTTGTCAGAGGTGAGACTTAATTTGAACACAAGCTTTTTTCGAACTTATCTTCTATTAAAACTATATCATCACCTGAAGATTAAAAATTATAATTGGATACCTTCAGAAGTCTTGTAATATATACTTGAATATCTTGAAGATATAAAGAGTATATTTGCTATATTCATATTAACAACTAATAGCTAATTTTTTTCAGTTGAGTTTACGAGATAATCCTCTAGTTGTGAGATTTGTTAGTGAAATGAGTTATAATCCAGCTAGCCTTCTGGAACTATCTGCTAGAACTGTCAAATCTCACAATGTGAGTTACACACCAGATGATGTTCCGCATACTCTTTTAGATTATATGAAAACCGCTCATCACTGTGTAAATCCCCACTGCCAAGGTGAGTCCATATTCTGTGGAATTTTGTGTTGCCAGCACTATGTTATAAGTATAAAAAATAGAGATGTTGACTGTATTGAAATAATATAAAGCAAAAATGGAGGAATGGCAAACAGGAATGAGCGGAGCGTATTAAAGTGAAAGAAGGCGAGATTTATAGTAAATATATGTGTGTATGTGTATATATGTGCTTATGTGTATATATGTGCGTATGTGTATATATGTGTGTATATGTGCGTATGTGTGTAGTAGTAGTATATATTTGGTGCTAATACAAAGTTTACACAGGTCATAACAGATATTGCTTATCTATAAATACAAAATATAAAATATTCAGATAACTTGAATGGTTAAATGGACAATTACTATAGATATACATACATTTGTGCAAATAAAACAAACATCCAGGTGTTTATTTTGATAACAGAGTGGAGCACATAAAGTTTGTAGATTTTTGTGGGAAGTATCGAATTCCGTTACTGCAATATTTGTGTTCGCCCAAGTGCGCCAACAATACTGAATTGAGAGAAGAAAATTACGACAGACCGTTCCGAACGCACATGATGAAAAAAGTTCTACTGGGTTGAAAATGATACAAACTCCAATTCCGGAATATTCAATATTTTATGCGTCAATATTACAACAAAAATATATCACTCTTATAGGAAAACAGACTGATTAGAGGTTGAAAAATTGGACCAATTTTGAATTGTATAGTCCCAAAAGTAGAGTTACATATTTCTGAATACTGGAATACTAGATTGGATATCAAAAATATGAAGAAATACATTCAGAGTGATCATTTTTGTATGATTGAATTTTTAAACCGTTACGGGGTAGTTTTCCATCATTCATAAGCCATCTCTCATAATTGTTTCATAAAGAAATTATAGTGCTAGAAACTTTGGAAGATTAGACTCGTTTGACACCTCTTTCATTTGCAAAACTAATGAATATTTGCCACGAAAAGTATGAACAATATAAAACTAAATCTCAAAATTGAGAACGAATCAATCAACCAAGTTGAAAATTAAATATTTAGGCCTAATAATTGTGGAAGATTGAAATTTTGAAAGTCACATAAAAAAAATTATAGAATCGATTGTACCACTGGTAGGAGCAATCAGATGAATACATTTTTTAGAAACGTTGACCTTTGCAATTCTCAGTTCAATAAAAAAACTAGAACCTGACAGATTTCTTCAATGCCACTGGGCTTTATCAGGGATGCAAAGCAACCCCTAGTAAGAAATAGCAATGACAATTCCCCCCACAAAGATGCTATTTTTCAGATTAACAAAACAAACCATGAATATTGAAAAATACCTTTAGAAGCAAGAATGCATTCATAGTATAGGTAGTCTAGATTCCATGGTAGGAATCGCATTTCGAAAGGTAAGACCTCGTTAATCCCTATAGGGTTGTCGCTAATTATTCTATTTTAAAACCCTCTTTTTGAAAAATAACAGAAAGTATATTCCCTAACTCCAACATAATATTATTGAAGGTGAATGAAATTTGATTAACCTAATTTGAAAGATGAACCTATAGCCAAAAACAAAATATTCATGATCCAACCTCAGACAACCTGTTTCGAACCACTAGAGGTCTCATCAGTGATTCTAGGCTGAACCACAATTACCACGTTGGACTCAATTGTTCTTAAAGAACGAGTAGTAAACTAAATTTGAAAGAAATGTATGTTTTACAATAATTTTCAAACTAACAATAGTGACTAGGTTGGAAAAAATATGAGAATTTTGACAACAGAACATTTCCAAAGTAGCATATTCAGTTAAATAGCCTGGTGATCCAAAGTACTCATTTCTTGAAAGATTTGTTAAGTAACAGAATCAAATTATCTTAGACGAACAATTTTTTTCTCTGCCAACTTTTCGAATTCATTGCATCCTTCTTCAGGGTTCTGAAACAATGAATTTTGTAAAACGTACCTGCCACAAACTTTACAACTATTGTTTTTAATTTGTAAGAAGTAATAATAAAATAAGTAGTTTTATCCTGATGAAACTGTAAGTTTAAAAATCATTAAACGTGTTACATGCACCGTAACGAACAAAATTTTCAAGACTAACACAATGACGTGAAACAAACAAATGATTTCATCTATAAGTTTGATAAGGTGTTACCTGTTTTCATTGATCTAAGGAAAAATCAGAATGAAAAAGATGTTATTTCTCTGTTTGAGAATATGAATCATTTTGCTTAGAAGAATATGGTTCGACATATAAAATCGTCGGATGTTCACAACCAAACATATGCCATGCTCTCGTGATCAACAAGGGCTGTCGGTTATTGATAATAAGTTTTTTCAGAACCTCTCATGTGTTCTAAAACTCGTGTTTTTGGATAACGTCCGGCTTGTCCAATATATCATCTAGAGACTATGTGAGATTGTACATCTAGCGATGATTCAGTGTTTCACTTGGAGAAAAAAATATTTTCCAACAGTATCCTCATTTAAAAGGCCACTTTGATTCATTTGTTACTAAGTAACAGGTCAAGTTTTTCAGGTGAATTTTCCACATATGAAATTTTATGATATTTTGTGTTTGCCTTAGTAATAATTCAGAAATCTCTCTGAAAAAGTTGGTTTGTGATATCAGTTTACTTATGATATTCTGTTTGCATTTTCAATAATTTTGGTGTCTAAAATATTCTCAATCAAAAAGTTTGAAATCAACATTTGAACATTTCTGGTATTTGTGATTGATTTCTTATTGAATTTTCAATATATTCCTCATAGCCACTTGAAAGTTTCCAGCCGCCAAACTCAATGTGATTAAGATCATTAAGAACGAAGAGACGGATATTCAAGAAAACTATTTATAGGATATTATGCAGAACCCTGAAAATTCAAGAAAGCCATTACTTTTTTAAAGTAGTTCTCAGAGTTTATTTTTACCATTGCTGCCTTCGAATGACAAAAACTAAACAGTTACCGAACGTCGGCAGTTTCTTAGTGAAGCATTGGCGGCGTGGACCTCATACGAGGTCTAATTATTATTTTTATGTGGGAGGTTTTAGACGATATCAACTAGTAAATATTTATCAGACCTCGGTACATTAGTATTTTATTCAGCTGTTCGGATTGACCTTGTTTAGAGACTATATATTATTCGTTTTCTTTTTATTTTGGCTACACTTTATGTATTGAGCGTGTTTTCATGTAAGATCATAAATGAAATAGTAGATTTATTGGGTTTATAATTCAACTTTTCAACACAAAGTCATGACTGACTAAAGATAAGTTATATTTTATTGATATCGGTTTGATAAGAAGAAATGTTTTGCACAGAAAACAAGTTTGTATTTTGAGAGCTGGCAAGATAAAATGAACTGTTATCTCAAGAACAAATCAATATACATGGAATTTGTTTTTATTACTCACATAAAAATGCATTCCGGCTAAAACGAGCCATCTGGATAAATCATTTGATAATGAGACTGTGAAAAATGTTGAAACACATCAACTTTACACTTTTCTATGTAAACAGCAACCCTTTGCCACCCCCTCCCCACAAAAACATTCATGTCAAACATTTAAAATGAAAATAGAATTTTATTTTATCTGAGTTACATTTTATCTGAAAGATCTTTTAATTCTGTATCCGACCATGTAATATTACAGGGTTATTAAAAATAGCAATGCCAGGAAAAAATAAAATACCCCTTTAAGTTTTTTCATTTCCAAACTAGGTCAACGTGAACATACAATTTCGATATTATTTAGGAGCATACACCAATGACTAGCATTTTGAAAAAAGTGTTTCATTGGTTTGCATACATGATTCAACTTATGTAGGTGTGATAGCACTGTTTGAAAACAACTTCACATTTTGATCAGTTCCTTCAAGTTATTAATGTAGCCCCAACTCAAGTGTTGTTATATAGCTAACTCAGTTTTGTCTAACGTGTTTTCTTTGTTTTTATACTAACCGAGTTCAAAATTTTCCATTCTTTTGGTGTTTCTACAGTCTGCTGGCATAGATTACATAAATGGAAAAATTCTCAAATCTGTCTGTACTCTTGTAGCAGATATCATATTTAATAAATGAATCTTTCACATCTGGAACATTTCCAGATGTTAAGGAATCAAAATCTTCAGTCATCATCATTTGTTAATCATGAAATTGGAAGGGTAAGGATTAGGGGTGTTCCGCTTCAATGGGTAACATCATACTTAACAAACAGACCCCAGACGACAGTGGTGAATGGTGTGAAGTCAGATTCAAGCGTAATAAATTCAGGGGTTCCACAGGGTTCAATCCTGAGACCACTATTGTTTGTAGCTTTTCTGAGCGACATTGAGACACCTGTAAATTCGCAAATCAAATGATATATGCCGATGACACTAATATTTTGATGTCCACAATAACATTGATCAATTAACAAAATTAAGTAACAAGGCATCTAATGAAATAGAAAGGTATAGCCTTGAAAATGGCCTCAGCCTGAATAGAAAAAAAAACAATTATGTCCGGTTCTTGCAAAAAAACATGAATCCAAATTATGACGTATACTTAACCTTATCTGGTAAATCTATACAATCTATAGAAACCATCAAGTTCGTAGGTGTTACTTTGGATAGTAAGCTAACATGGGAAGAACACAAATACTGTGTGTTCGAAACTAAGCACTACATGCTACATAATAATAAATCTGCGAGGTACTGTATCAGTAGACATCTTGAGACTATTATATTTTGGGATGGTATAGTCGACTCTACAATATGGCGTGATCTTCTGGGGGTCGTCTTGTCACTTTGAAAGGGCATTTGTATCTCAAAAAAAGGATAATAAGAACAATTTGTCATGTCAACCACAACATGTAAACCTTTATTCAAGAATCTCCAAATACTAACCCTCCCATGTTTATATATTCTTGTTATAGTTATATGACTGATTATGTACATAAAACGTAAACAAAATGAACTAATGAGGAATGAAGACACTCATATGTATAATACTAGGAATAAAGAAAAACTTCGACAACCCTATTCAAGGTTATCAGTCTGTGAAAATTCACCAAAGCATATTGGTAGCAAGTGTTTCAATAAAATAGGAGATTTGATAGATATGAATCTGAATGACATTCTATTCAAAAATAAATTAAAAAATTTTCTTCTACAATTTATTTGTAGATTACCGTCTTTTCCTTCTTGACTAGTTGGATAAGTGGTATGCATGTGTGTATGTATAATGCCTTGTATAACCTTTGATGGATGAATAAATTCTATTAATATTATTATTTGCTACCATCAGAGTTAAAATTAAGAGCGTGTCTGAATACTGTAGTGAGGAGAGATACATGCACACTAGAAAATATTTCAAAATAAAATCTCGAAATACTCATCTACCCCAACTACATATACCGTACGTTCTGGTAAATGCCTGCCGAAAAACAACTACTTCCCTGTCTTATACCACGCTGGATATTGAATTATATTCAACAGTTATGCAAAATACCTCACCCAGGTTAGTTTCCCAGATGTTTCTCGTTCATCCAGCAGTAGGACCACATGCTGAAAATATTCAAGTAGATCACCTACAGACCAGTTTCGAGGTATTACTTTCATTAGTGCAGGAAAGATTGTTAACTAGTAACAGATTCATCTCGTGAACAAAGCCCCAAGCGGCGAAGAAACATCCATGTACCTATACTCTTAAGAGATCAAACCATGTCTGAAGACTGTATCTAGGAGAGCTACATACGTACTAGAAAATAAATATTTCCAAATGAAATCTGAAAATATTCGTTCTTTCCCAACTACCTACACCATAGGTTCCGGTACAATGTGGGTTGTTGGGAAAGATGTATGTTTCGAGATTTTTTTGAAACATTTATTTTCTATTGAAATGAAGAAAATAAAACACTTCTTATAGAACATTAGAAGTATTACGTCTTTTATTGAAATAAAAAGTGCTCTGAAGAGATTTTGAAACAACTGCTCAAGAAAATCCTGCCAATTCTGTGAAAGCAAAAATAAAATTCACTCCAAAATATTTGATATGTTATATTTGACTTTCTACTCTAGAGCATTTACTTGTAATCACAAAAAAATATACCTTCAACAATTGATAATGTCATTTAATTTAAATAATATATGTACAATTAAAAATTATATGCAAATTACATATTATTTTAAACTACAATACATTCAATGGGCTGGTGCTAACGCTTTGATGATTTCCAAACGAAATGCCAATGAAATAAAGAATACCACTAGTGTAGAAGTCTGAAAAGGTTGATTTAATCGAGCTTTTGTTGTTCAACAGAAGACTAATTAAACTACGCTTTTCACATAACTGTTCATTATATTTTAAAAAACCATATCGTACAAGTGCAGAAGAATGGATTTTAAATCTACCAAACACTTCTAATTCCCATTTTTGGAGGCGTGGATTGTGAAAAGTACCAATAATTAGAACGCATTGCACTTTTTTGAAAGCAATAACGATGAATATTTCTAAACAGTGGGTTTTCCTCACTCAGTTTTTCTCTAAAGCATAAGCTAGAAGTACACATGAGTTTGGAGTAAATATCTTTATCTTACTTATCACACCCTTTTACTGGCTGGTTTTTGTCTAACCCTCAGTACACCTAATTCTTCTTCAGCTACTGAAGAAAAAGACAAATATTCAAGTGTCGTTTACAACCAAAGAAGAATAAATACAGTTGTTGCACAAAGTCTATGAACAGGTTGATTCGAATTTTCAATTCTATCACATCACAATGAAGAACGTGATTCATTAAATTACATGAGAAAAACGATAACATGTTTATTTATACAAATGACCTCCTTATTACAACATACCTGTTGTAATAATGTTGTAATGTAAACTGTCAAGATTTTTAAAAACATTTTTGTGATGATTTATAATTGCTGATCCAAAATAATGAAGACTGTTATTAATAATAATCAACTAGTTTGGTGATTCAATAATTTTTCATTAAAAAAAAGGCTTTCTTGGCAACGTTTCGAATTCAATCATATTCTTCTTTGGGCTTGAAAAGGAGTTCCTTTTTGTTGAAAATATAACTATTTTGAACAAGAAGAAATTTCTTTTCAAGTCCTGAAGAAGAATTTAATTAAATTCGAAAATTGGGTAAGAAAACCATTGTTTTTAAAGAAAAATTGATATTGTTATCCAATTAATCGTTATTATTATTGAAGCAGTCGTGGTATATACTCCTATAGCACTTTTTTTTTAGCAAGTGAAGAAATTTATAACGGAAGATTTAACCAAATTCAACTTCTCAACCATTTCACGAATTTTAGATGTTCCAAGTTGAAAAAATTGTTTTTTCTACATTTGAGCCGATTTTACTTGGCAATTCTAAACTATTATTTTTAGAAATATTCTTTATCCTTTTAGACCAAAACCCTCATCTCATGAGACAATGTTGATTCAATAAATTTGAAGTTATTGTATAAGCAAAACGAAATGAAAATTTTGTTGTTCTGAATTCTGATGTCCATATTACATTTTAACGGAGCAAAACCCGAGAAAACAGCTCATCATACTTTATCCGTGAGAATCTTCGAGTTAACATATATATATATACACATACATGTGTATACATTTGATTGATGTGTTAGTATTCAAATAACTTATTTGATCACCATTTTAAATTTAATTCCTGTTCTTGTTTCTTGGGATTAATAAAGATCATTATTATTGTTTTTATTAAGATCTGTATTTGCATGAGCCAAATGAGCTTTACAAGAAAAAAAAACTGCGATGTAATATTGACTGCAAATATAGCAAAAATATTGCACTATTTTGTCAGAATATTTTGAAATCCTGAAATGATGTAGCAATTCCGTTGAAAATTTTGACTATAATGCACAAAAACCTTGGTCATGATGATCCTCTAGGTCCTCAAGAGTTTGAACTTTTTTTCGTGATTTTTTTCCAAGAATCCATTTTCAATTCTCAAACTTAGTAACACTCAGTACAAATTTTATTCTGAAAAACGAATGTCAAATAATCATACACAGCACATGTATTATATTTGAAAAAACATTCCCCAAGATAGAAATAAATGTTCGCAGAGTTTTCCAACGGGGGCTGAGGGGAGAAATAAATTGATGCTACTTCATAATCATACTGCCTGTTGTTGTTTTAGTTGGTTCCGAATAATTATGGTTTCTTAAATTTCTCCCATAGTTTACAAGTCGCAATATTATAGTAACAGACAATTACTGGGAAATTCCAATTTCAAGGGATCAAAGTAGGTGTAAATTACTTAGAATTGTACTGCCAACCTAGACATTAAAGTTTCCAAATGATATATTTCACCAGTAAAATCAAGTTGGTACCATTGAGGTTTCACATAACCGCGAAAATGTGCTTCACAAATTATCACTCACGAGTTGTTACTTGAACCCCAGATTTTTAAAACATTTTCAAAAACGAGATTTTGGAAAAAAGTTTTTTGATTAAAATATTCGGTAATTCATCTGTTAGAACTTTATTAGTCTTCTATTGAAACTTACAAATCTACGTTTGTTCAAAGGACATCTTTTTTAAAACGGACTTCCTCAGAATTCCTAAGTTTAACCGTACTTGAAAAATTTATTTAATAACACTTTACTGCGTGTTGAGGTTAGATTTAAGTACGGAGCCCTTGTGTCGTTATATTTCTTGAATGGTTAATAAAAATACTCATTATATTATTGTTATTTTTTTAATGCTTTCATTTTATTTGATGGCTGTACAATTTTCTGTATTCTAGTTTCAAGTTCAATCTATATACTCTAGCAAATATTACTGGCTCTAACGAATGGAAAAATTAACCCACAAATTCGCTTTAGTAGGTTCTTCAATTAATTGCCACGATATGCGATTGCAAATTCTACACTATAATATTGCATAACTGTGATTATTAAATTAGTATTATTGAATACATTTGTCATGGATTTTCATCAAATATTGACCAATAAGTTCAGGATTTCGCTGCCGAGTTGTGAAATTGTTCGTGGTTTCAGGCCACAAGGACTGCCGAGCCCAAGAGGCTGCAGACCAAGACACCAGAGAAATATCAGCTGTGGCAAAGCATGCACAGGACACGCTTTGTGGATACCCAACTTCTTATCCACTTGTCAGGCTTTTACAACCTGTTAGTTTTTGATGTAATTGTAACTACAACAACTACAACTGTAACTACAATTTCAACCGGAAGAAAAAACAATGAAGATCAACAACACTTGGGCACCAGATTTATGGAAGACCACAGGAATGCCTGTGCCTGTGCCAGATTGGAATGACGGAACAACTCGCATGTAATTTCAATTGTGACTTCGTTACTATCTTTTTGGAGAAACTTGAAGGCAATTATTGTCAAAAAAGCTTACTATACATTGGACGATTTTTTTGAGGATTATTTCGACACAAACTCTGTATATACATACAATATATTGTGTATATACACAATACGCACACAGTATGTGTGTATATATGAGTTTATTAACATTATATAGTTATACATTACATTTCATCACGAAAATGTTTGTCTCTCTCTCGTGTGTGATTGGTCAGGAGCAGTCATCTCCTCTTCCAACAGAGGACGGCCTAAAAACCTGAAACTACGAACAGGTTGTTGATTTACAAACCCAAACATTAGGTATATTTTAGTATGTTGTAATATTTGTGATATTGATTTGTGGAAGGAAAGAATCTTAAAAGGAATGTTCATGTTCAATTGATAAAATTCAGTATCTGAAGGTGACTTATTTCAAACGGGTATTCTCTCCAAATATTACGGCAGTGTTACAGTACAGACTGGTACAATGTATCATTAAGCTATTACTCATATTTAGTTTGAGACTAGGATATTCACAAAGTATTCGCCGATTCTTCACAAAATGTGCGTAGAGCAAAGTTAAAAATATTCCAATATCCTGACAGAAATTTGCAGTTGTCACAAAACTTTGGTAGGAAAAGCTCCTGGTTTATTCGCTGAAACTTTTTCAAAGAAATAGATACGTTTTCCAAGGAAAGAAGAATTGATAAGAACCTGAAGAACTCCAATAATTTTTATTATCGTCATCAATATGGATCTGTTCGAAGCATCAACGACTATCATAAAATAGCTTACGTTTTGACATACAAATATTTATTCCACTTTGATTCCGAACACTGTGAATATATGTCTGGTGCTTGTATGTCTTTACCCATAACGCAATTAACAAATGATACCAAAACGAGTGACCCTAAAATTATCAACACCAAATTAAATATTGTTAAAAGTCACTTATAATATACAACAGTGAAAACTGATAATAAAAAGATCTAATAACTTATAATTTTTCTGTTAAAATTCTACGACTTTGTTTTTCCTCTTTTTATATTGAGACTAACAATATAAATATTACAACTATTCATCATTTCATTGAAAAACCTGGTACACTAAGTGCGAATATAAATAAAATTAACATTATCGGAACCGATATAATGATCATTAAAATACATTTTACAAATAAATGGAAACGACGTTTCCAAAAATATACAAAATGAAAATCATTAGCTCGATAACAAAAATATATATATACATATATTTGAATTTTCAAATTGAAATAGAACACCACCAGATTTTTCAATACATCGATACGATACGCCTTCTCGAATTCACAAAAACCTTCGACATTAAATTGGCATGGTAGAAATTTACGTCTCGAAAACGATGGGAGGTCGGGCATTCGAATACAAAGTGCCATTCACGAGGTGGACCAAAAACAAATATATCCTCGAATTGAATATTGATGATTTTTCCATCACTAATCTAATTTCCCCCACCCAAAACATAACCCGACGAAACGGAGTAGTTCACTCAAGGCGGTATTTTTGAAAACAGAACCTCGCACCGAGTATCTAATATCCATAACTAAATTAGATCGTTGAAAGAGAATGATCAGACAGACAACAAAATAATCACAGATACGACTTGAGGCGTACATTCGTTTTTGGTACACCCTGTACAAACAAGTAATCAAGATCTGTACAACGCACGTATATTAATTGATAATATTTCTATAGTACAGCTGTCCTCTCTCACACACAATCGCTAAATATAGGGAGGCCAAGATAGACCAATGGTTGCCGAAAGACAAGGGGGGATTAACTAACTAAGCTATACCGGACGCAGCTGCTTGGAGAGGGGCTGACGTCGAATCACTAGCCTCCGCCATGCCTGAAGATGTCGCTCCGTCGGGACTGCTGGAGGCGTCTTGAGTGCCGCGTGGAAGCAAGACGTTGTTGAGAGACGGTTGGATGCTCAATTCTGAAACAGAAATCAATAGATATTCCTTCATTTAGCACGTATGTCGGTGAGACGCAACAACATGTATATGGTCACAGATTATCAAATGAAATCAAAATATACTTCGTTTTCCAAGATGCACTCTTACTGACAAAGCTTGTATAAAAAGAGATTGAAAAAATTATCATATATAAATACATAGTTATACATATATAATACAGGTCAAAATTATATCTCATAAATGAATTAATGTTTCAGATCGTTAGTTTTAATCGGAATCACTTATTAATTATTATTTTATAAACATACCAAATCGTATAAAATAAGACTAAGCAATAATATAACCAAAACACACCTAAAAATTGAAAGTGTTTAGGAAATATAAATATACATATATACAAACATATACACACATTCATACACAGGTCAAAATAAACATTTACAGTAAAATATCAACACGCTAAAATATTTCTAATAGGGGTTCTTCACTTTCTTGTGAAAAAGTGTGTCATTGGATATTTTTCTCATCGAGAGGGGAAGATGGTTAAACAGTTTTTTTTTCATTATAAAACAATAAATTCCTGATGCGTGATGTTGAAGGAATAGGAAGATTGATATTGTAAGACGGGTAACATACCTTAACCGTAACACAATATTTTCCTTGTATTTTCTTTACAAGAGGCAAACTGTATCTAAAATGAAAAAGCTAGTACATGATGCACTGAAAAAAGAAACTGGCTGATTTGCAATCCAAAGTTCAATTTATTGTCAATATAAAGTCTTTAGAACTCCCTATTTTCAAAGGTGGTAATGCAGAAGATCCAAATAACTTCAGACCTATCTCCATACTCTCAACACTCTCAAAAATCATAGGAAAAATGGTGAAAAAAAGGGTATCAGCTTTTCTTTATAAATACAATATATTAATCAACTGTCAATTTGGCTTTCAGAAGGCAAAAAGCACAAATGATGCAATCTTTTCCTTTCTTGAACATGTCTACACACGTCTCAACAATGGTGAGGTCGTAACTACAGTATTCTGCGATTTCTCCAAGGATTTGATTGTGTAAATCATGAACTTCTTTTGCAAAAGTTGAACTACTATGGATTTAGAGGAGTGTGTAATGACTGGTTTAGGTCTTACAGTTAGTAAGATCAAACGAAAAACTATCACACACTAAGGACATCTTATGGGGCGTTCCACAAGGATCAGTACTGAGCCCGATTCTTTTCCTTATTTATGTAAATGACCTTGTTACTCACAATTCAAGGAATTTTTACGATCTTTGCGGATGACACCACGCTTCTTTGGCAGCATGAAAGAAATACTTCTAATATGGAAGAAACTATTTCTAGTGATTTAGAAGTTGGGACTATACAAACTATTTTGTCTACAAACTTTGTTAAATTTTATTTTCTATTGTTATATTTTATCTATTAGATATGTGAACTTAGTTTGGCTCAAATTGTGTTTCTGGGTATTTGTGTTTTTCAATTGTTTCTTTTCTTTTATTCTTTGAATTGTTATACTCATATATACCAGATTTTTTAACAAGCTTTGTCAATAAAATTGTATTTTCTTGGACAATCTGTTCAAAAAAATCTGTTCAAAATCTGTTTTTCCGTTAATCAGCTGTCGCCCCCATACGAACGACAACTCTCAAAAGTTGAGAACTTGTGCGAGCTAAGGACTAACGAGGTCTTACCTTTTAACGTGTGATTCCTAACACGGTTGCAGAATCATTTCAGCTTCAACCAGATAAATTCTCTCGAGAAAAATATCTGGTCGAGGCGGGAATCGAACCCACGATCTTCCGATCGTGAGTCGGGCGCACTACCAACGCGGCCAATTCCAATAAAGTATATGTCTATCTATTATTCTCTTGTTTATAGTTAATGATTTGCTCATCAAGATATATTTGTTCTAAATGGCATTCGAAAGAAATTAAATTTGTTTTTATTACATTAGAAGACAATAAATTTACATCACACCGTTGCTTCACTTTTACCAAGTCATTTTGAATATTTATTTGCAATGCATCAACATTATTGTTTTGCCAAAGTTCAGACGTGTTATCAGCAAAGATTGTGTTTTTACCTTCTATAGAAATATCAGCAAGGTCATTAATAGGCGATAATAAATATAGTTTAAAAAACACGCTTTTAAAGAACATCGAACTAAAAAGTTTAAAATATTTTTTTAAGATAACCTCAAAACAATAACGAACGAAAAATACTATTATTGTGAAAAAAGCGACAGGTGCTTGATATACAAAAAATATGGCACAAAACACCACGCTTTTTTCTTAATAGTAATAGTATTTTTTGTTCGTTATTGTTTTTAGCTAATTTAAGAAAATAGTTTTAACTTTTTAGTTCGATGTTCTTTAAAAGCGTGTTTTTTAGTTTTTAAGCTATATTTATTTTCAATTTTTTAGTTTCGTATGCTATAAAATCGCTTTTTTTAGCCTTTTTAAACTATCTAAACTTTGGGATCAATCAGCCGTATATTGTTTAGAAAAATGACCATTGATATTTTCGTATAGCGCCATCTACCCGCGAATAGATTAAGCAATTATGTTAATATATCAAGATTACATACAGCGCCATCTGCCCGCGAATAAATCAAGCAATAATGTCGGTAATTCTGTCAAATACAGATCTCGAGCTTGAGAGTTACAAACATACATACATACAGGTGAAGCTAATATAAATCGTGAAAAAAAAAAAAGATCAAACGGTCGATGACAGATTCTTGAGGTACCTCGCTAGAGAAGGCAGATAAAATTTCTAGAAAAAAAATCGAAAAAATGTCCAAAAATGTTTTTCAATACAGATTTAATCGATCCTAATTATGTTGGAAAATCTCATGCAAAAATGAGAGATTATTCATTTCAATTATTTCAGTGTAGGTATCTTGAGGTTTTTTTCAGTTTAGTGTCCTGTTAAATTATTTCAGAGATGTAACGGTAGTAATAAAATTTATGAGAATGAATCACTCACCGTGATCTGTGAAATTGAACAAAGGTGGTAATTCGCTTCCGCTAGGCAGGCGGGTGTTCGGTTCCCTCAACTCGTTGAAAAAAGGATGTGCACAAGCTTGCAAGGGGCTAATCCTCGAAGATGGGGTATATTCCAGCAGTCTGGCCACTAATTCAATGGCTTCTGGAGGAGTTCTCGCTCTGAAGACCTGGAACAAAACACGCACCTACAATGAACGTTATCATAGAATCAAACGAGTATATAATAATAATAATCTTTATTTAAAAAATATGCCGACTATTACAGCTTGTACACAGACAACATAGAATGAAATAATGTCAACAAAAAAAAAAGAAAAAGACTTTTATTTCTTTCTTAGATTTCTTTATGCTCCTCAAATCTTTGATTCGATTAGGCAATTTATTGTACAGCTCCATTGACATGTAATGAGGAGTTTTTCTGTTATGGTTAACCTATGTATAGGGAGCACGAAATCATTTCATCTTGTTCCATAGGAATGTTGATTACTATTGTTGAAGAACAGATGCCTATTTTTTAATACAAACACTAAGCATTCATAAATATAAAGAGCATATATCGTCATTATCCCATTATTTTTGATTGCTCTTTTCTGGATTACAAATATTTTATTTATATTACTATTGCTTCCCCAAAATATAGTCCCATATCTAGCTACAGACTCAAAATTGGAAAAATATAAAATTTTTACTAATTCTTTGTCGAGATATTTTAGTCCATACGAAATTTTGCTCAATTTGTTAGCTGCATAATCAATCTGTTTGTTCCATTTCAAGAATTCATCAATATTTAGTCCTAGTTAGTTTAGATACATTCAAAATTAACTATTCCTAGTGAACCATTTTTTTGTATCATTAAACATTTCCATACCTGTTTTTACTACTTCAGGGTATGTTTCACTGCCTATTAATAAATTAGTGTCATCATAGTGAATTATGTGTGTTTGAATGATAACATAAATTGTTTATATAGATAATAAATAACAAGGGACCCACAATGCTTCCTTGGGGTACTCCTACTTTCACTGTCACATTCTCAGATTTGCGTGTTCGACCATGTTTGTTAATAGTTACTATTTGTTGGGGATCTGTTAGGAAAGATTCAATAATATAGTATAGTAATAACTTGAATTTAGCTGAGCAATACTCTTTATATATATTTTTTCGTTCACAAACTGAAAAATATATAAAAATATGATAGATCTGATAAAAATATGTTAACATATTCAAAAAAGACTTCATTGTGAGATTTCCATTTGACAGTGGACAGCGACACATGTTTCGCTATACAAGAGCATCTTCAGACGTCACAATACTGTCTAAACAAATTCTGAAACATGCTTTTAATAATAATAATAATTTTCATTATCCTGTATGACAATCAAAAAGGTACACTGTGTAGGATTAGTCAGAAAAGAGCTTAAAAGTAAAACTAAAAATAAGACAATTTACTAAGAGTAATACATTCATTGAAATTTTTATTTTATTATTCAATCATTTCCTGAAGGAAGTAATAGGTTTTCTCTAGTAGGAAAGACTTAAGTGTAATTTTGAAGCTGTGGATGGTACTAGAGTTTTTCAGTTCAAGTGATCTGAGCCCTATTACATTGGTGGAATTGTGCATTTTTACAATATGGCATATGAAAGTCTATCTTGTACCTGATTTCAATAGAATGCACATTTTCATTTCTTATGAAACAGTTATAGTTATTTAAATCCTAATGACAATTACTACCCTACAAATTTGTACATAAGAAATTCATTACATAAAATATTCATCTTTCTAGGAACAACTCATTGAACTGGAGAATAATGAATACAAGTTTTACCTGAGACACTTACTTTCAAGATCTATCTTAATTATCAATTTCATCAGTGCAATTCAAATATATTTGATCATTGAGCAATCCCGAATTTTTTAATCTATTAATTTTCTAAGCATTCAAAAAGGTTGAGTTTAGAATCTTTCTCTTCCAAATGCAATACTTCATAATCGCGATTTAACTCAGGCTCCTCTGTCAAAAGATGGTTTGCAAATGTTGAATCGGACTTTTAGTCCAAGAAACTACTTCTATGCTCTTTTATTCTATTGGAAAAAGTTTTTCCGGTTTGGCCAATATAAAGTTTCGGTAGAACCACAGTCAGCTATAATGCTCAGACTGATTGATGTTTTAATGAAGATTTCTCAGGTTGAGTCCAAATATTTTTAGTCAAAATTCAAGATATGTAGTTACCATTGATTCAACGAAAAATATACCCATATCTGTCAATAACATCAACACAATCCATGACTTAAAAACAAGTGTACACTAATGTGTCAGCCTTCACGTGAAAATTATAAAACAAAGCAGTCTGTGAGTTACGTAACAAAAAAGAAAACTAAAACCACAGGCGATGATGACGATGAAGATGTGTATGTGTGTATGTATGAACCGATTAGTAAAAATGGGGGCAGCTATCAACACTTCTCGAGACTTACGCGTATTTTTTGATGATTTGTGGTCTCAAACGGCATCGACATTCTTGTCAGCATTAACTGCAAAACACATGAATGCTATTTTTGACACAATCCAAAAAGATCAAGTATACTAAAATGTTGCAACAGTTTCGTTAATATAATGATGCTTCAGTATACTTAAATTTTCTATTTATTGAGAATTAATACTGGTAGAAACTCACTATGGCGAGTTTCTCACAGTATTTAGGTATATGTTGATACTCCAGGTATAAATTTGTTTTGTGATAATTTTCAGATTGAAAATATAACAATTTGAGGTTTGTCAGAATGCTCGTTGAATATCGATAGTGAAAATGAATCAACAATTTCCAGTTCAAGTTTGTATCATCAACTACTTATTTAAAAACCCAGACTATACAACCTATTCATTAAACACTCCATTAAAGCAGCATATCTCTTACACCACCATTTCATACAACTTGATAGCCTGACCCCCATTCTGAATATTAATTTCTAGTTATTCTAGTTATTTATGTGATTATTTTTTCTTTGTATACGTTACAGTTCTCCATTTAAATATATTAAGTGATAAATTATCAGCCAAGCACCAATCATGTACCACATTCAGGTTATTTTAAAGTTGCTCACAATCGGTCAAGTACCTTATTGGTAGATAAAGTTTTACGTCATCTGCAGTAGGGATTTTCTATTATCTGAATCATCAACTAAATCATTCAAAAACGTTAAAAAAGTAAAGGCCCTAAATTGGGACCTTGAGAGACTTCAGAAGTTGAAATGATGACTATTATAGAAAACGTACTGCTGTCGACCTGAAGCATAAATGATTTGAAGAATTGGAAACAGTTCAACTTTTCCAAATTCCATGGTCTATCCTATCAGAGGTCTTTGAGAAATTAACATAGATCAGATCTATCTGACCTCCTGAGGAAAGTTGGGTGATAACAACGAACTAAGAAAATTGTAAGTGCTACTTCATTACTGCTTACCGGACTGTCTACTGGTGAATTTTTAGTAGGTTGAAAAATTAACTTTGTAATTGTGAAAATAGAGGAATTTTGCTTCAAGTATCAACACAACAAAGTGATAACTGTTACAGTAATGGGGATGAAAGAAAGACCACAAAATCTCAATGGTTCTTGCAGATCCGGTGGTCATTGTTAAAGTTCTATGGGAGAAATATTTGTGGCCGGATCCTCTATAACAATGATATCATAGGGTGACTCTGAACCACTGCACAATTTTTAGTTGAAGTGATCTAGGTCAGCATTTAATTAAATCACAATATCAAACTCATACTTCGTAAAGCAAGAAGTCTTCTTCATTGTGAAGGACTGATGGCGCTGAAGATACTAACTCAATATAGGAGGTTCCCAAACTAAGTTTTTTAGTTGTAACAGACTATATCATTTGGATTATTGAAAGCATGAGGATTTCATTCGGAGCACATGTATTTTTTTCATGTTGGCTAATCTGTCAGTTGTCGTGTTGACTGATCATGACATTACATACTTGAAATGAATGTTAAGAAAAATAAATATAATGAAAACAACCTCCAAACAGCAAATAAAACTCATAAATGAAAAATGCAAAAGTTAACTACAAATGACAATCGAGACTAATGTTGAATACACACAGTAATGGATTCCTGATACAACAGTTATTCAATATAGATTTTTTTTCAATAAAAAACCATCAAGAATTAAATATACCTCTGAAGAAGTCTAAATAATGTCTTTGTTAGTGACAAAATTTTTCACATTGGCATGAGGGTATGAAAGCAAAACAGCGCAGCAAATCAAGGATCATCAAACCGAGGATGGATGTAATAAAAATGATAGTTACCTGTTGCCAAGGGTGCGACTTGATCTGTGGGAATTTAAACTCAGTATAGTTCGGGTTCATCTCCTTGATCTGCTCTTTGGTAGGTGTACCGAGCACCTTTATAATCTCGACCAGTTGATCCACTCCTGAATCCCCCGGAAAAATGGGTTGGCCCAACAGCAGCTCGGCTAGCACGCACCCAGCGCTCCATACGTCAATCTTGGTGGTATAGTCGATAGCGCCGAATATCAATTCTGGCGCCCTGTAGTAACGACTGCATATATACGACACGTTCGGCTCACCCTTGACAAGGTGTTTTGCACTGCCGAAATCACACAATTTTAACACTCCAGTCTCTGGGTCTAACAACAAGTTTTGTGGCTTTATGTCCCGATGACATATGCCTAATGAGTGAATGTACGCTAGTGAACGGAACAATTGGTACATATATAACTGAAACAAAAGAACAAAATATTACAGATTGACAAAGTGGTTAAGGGTTTAGCGGCCGAGGTTTTCAGTATCACTATTTTTCGGGTTTGAAGACCGTTTATTTTTGTAATTTCTTCCTGACCTAATCCTGCACCTATTCCAGGTACAGGTATTAGCACACCAAACTAGTTGAGTCAACATAAATACGCCTTACGCAGCAGTATTATCCAGTCATCGGAGATTACTCAGGATGTATAAACGTTGAAACTAGCCACTCGCGATAGCGAAACGCCAGGAAGAAATTATCAAAATCGACTGCCAATAAACCCTAAATATAGTGATACTGATATAACAGTGCAATGGTGTGCAATTCGAAAAAAATTGTCAGATTTTTTGTGTAAGAGATAAAGGAGAGATTTCTAGACGTTTTAATGAGTTCTTTGTCAATACTATTGATGATATGGTGTCTAGTATTGAAGGTATTGAATTTTCTTGTAATATAAAGTGAAGTAGAAAAAAATTCAGTATTTTTAAATTAGAATCTATACATGAGTTTGGTATAATTATGAAAAATCTAGAAAATAAAGGAAGTCAAATTGATGAACTAAACAGTAAAGTTTTGAAAAAAATCTTTGATGTTATTGGGCATGTGTGGTGCCATTTTGTGAATGTATCATTGGAAAATGGCACATTTCCCGAGGAATTAAAAACCAGCACTGTTACACCTATCGAAAAGGTTGCAAATACCAGTAAAAGCGGTAAGTTTAGACCAATCAATTCTTTGCCATTTGAAGAAAAGCTATTAGAGTCAGTAGTTCATCAACAGTTATTAGATTATATTCATTAATCGGTCTGGTTTTAGATCAAAGCACTCATGTGAATCAGCTATACAACTCACTGTCACTAAATGGAAGGAAAAAATGAGTACACTATAGCAGTATCACTGGATCTAAAACGGGCTTTTGAAACAGTAAATAGAGATACATTATTAAAAAAACTAAATAAATATGGTATAGAGGGTAAATTATTATATTGAATTAGAGGATACCTTACAAATAGAAAACAGACAACAAAAATTTGTGATGTAATGTCGTCAGCTATTACAATAAAGCATGGAGTTCCTCAGGGTAGTATTTTGGGCCCTCTATAGTTTTTAATGTATATTAATGATATGGAAAAATATGTTGAATGTGACTACATTTATATATTCACAGATGATACTCTGATATCAGTAAGTGATGGGAATATCGATAGAGCAGTGATCAAAATAAATGATGTGCTGAAAAATATGGACAAATATTTGAAAATGAATGAATTGAAGTTAAATGTAAGTAAAAGTAAGGCAATGATTATTACTACACCTTATAAATATAAACAAATAAATAGTAGTAACATTAACATAGAAATAAACAATTAAAAAATTGAAATTGTAAAGGAATTTAAATATCTGGGATTTATGTTGGATAATCATTTATTATTTAGTAGCCACTTTGAATATATAAAAAAAAATCTTGACAAAACTGTATTTCTTTTCTAGAGTGTCCCAAAACTTAAGTCTGAATTCCAGAATAACTCTGTATAAGACTATCATTCAACCTCATTTTGAAATTTGCCCTGCATTACTATACTGCTTTGATCTGAATAAAATATCCCAATTACAAAAGCTACAAAATCGAGCAATGAGAATAGTATTGCGATGTAGCAGGTCAACTCTTATATCACTGATGCTGGAAACTTACTACTGTGAGGCGAAGACTGACCTACTTAACTATGATCTATATCTATAAAATGATACATGAACTGACTCCAACATACATGGGTAAGTTTATTATAACTGTAAACCAAATCCATACGTACAATACTAGAGGCCAGAATCATTTATATGTAAACAGGCAGAGTACCTCATATAATGTAAAAAGTTCATTTTTTTATATTTAATTTATTATATATCTTTATGCTTACATTTTTTATTATTTTTATTTTATTATATTATTGTAAAATAGGTATGTTAACTATTTTATTTTTTGTAAATTAGGATTGTCCTACTTAAATGAATAAATCAAATCAAATAAATCAAACAGATTTTCAATAAAACGCTTACATTCAACAAGGTATAAATGACATAACAACAATAAGAATTGAAAATGTTAAAAAAAACATATAAATCAAAATTGTTTTTATAAACAATTGGAATTGATATTATGTCTAACAGCACACACAATCAATTTGATATCATCAAAAGCAAATCCGTTGGTGAAGGAGGGGGGAAAAAGTTAAAAAAAAGCCATGAGGAAAAAACCCTAAATCATTGAGAGATAATAAGTCTTTATTATACATAATCAACCATTCTTTCCAATGAAGTAAATTTAGGGACTATAACTAACTACAAAGTATAATAAAAAACAGAAATAACATACTTTACAATGAAGACATATTATATATAAAAAAAAAACCAATGAAATGCAGTCAAATAATGAAATTTGTTACAGAAAGTATATGTTGAAAACTTATAATAGAAATGAAATGCAAACTATGAAATTCCACTAATAAGATTTTTTTTCAATTGATATTTGAATTTTGTAATGGAATAATACTTCTTTATTTTTTCTGGAATTGAATTATATATAATGATCCCATCATGATATACCGACTTTTTTCCAAAATTTGTTTGTATCTTAATTTGTGACAAAAATTTGGTTTGTCTTGTGGCATGATTGTGATTATGTCCAATTGGAATAAAATTTAAATTTGATTTTTATGTGTTACTTTTTACAGAATGAATAAAGCAGCTAATTTTGAGTTTATAGAGTGAATTCAAGTCCAATAAAAGGTTTGGCTTATATAAGTTCAATGTTGGTTCTAAATATGGTAATTTATAAATGCTTCTTATTATTTTGTTTTGTAAGGTTTTCAGAGGTTTCATTATAGATTTACCTGCTGTTCCCCAAATAGAAATGAGATAGTGCAAATGTGAATAAATGAAACTGAAGTATATTTTTTTTTATTTCAAAGGTATAAAGTTTCTAATTTTGTAAAAAATTCCAATAAGAGGAGATATTTTCTTCCTAATTTTTTCAATATGTTTATTCCATGACAATTTCTCATCAATGTGTAAACCTAAAAATTTTGTTGTTCTTGTATATTTAATAGAATTTTTATCAAACATAATCGAATTATTTGAAGTATCAATTAGTCTTAGAAATTAAGCTTCAACTTATGTTCATTACGCCAAATGAGAATTTCATCCAAATCATTTTTCATATAATTTTTAATTTTTTCGTAACTATCTGAGAAATACACAGATCGGAAAAGTCTAGGGATATTTTTAAACATGGCAATAATTTTTTTTTAGAACGCTTTAGGAAAAAAAAAGTTGACGGGTGATTATTAAACGAATGTAACTTACAACAAAATTTATTAAATGGTCAAAAATACTGAAAAAAATATGGCTCTTCTTTGGCAACCCGAAAAAAAATCATGATACAAAAAAAATTGGAATCAGTACAAAGTATGGCCTCCACGCTGGTTTATTACGGCCCTACATCTATCGTGCATCGACAAAATGAGATTGTCAATGTCTTGTTGAGGTACATTTGCCCATTCAGCGATTAAAAGCTCTCTCAATTGAAACGTTGTGTGAATGTTCCCCATATGCGGAGCAATTCTTCGTTGAAGCATGTCCCACACATGCTCGATGGGATTCAGGTCCGGTGATTGTGCTGGCCATGGCAATACATCAACTCCTTCGTTGGTGAGCCAGTCAGTCACTAGACGCGCGACATGTGGACGAGCATTATCGTGCATTAGGTGGAAGTTTTTATCAACAGCACCAGCAAACGGACGGACGATAGGTAGAAGAATGGTGTCGAGGTACTGTCGAGCTGTGAGGGAGCGATTTGGAAAAACGAAATCGGTTCTGCCGCCGATCATGATTCCGCCCCATAGCATTACTGTACCACCTCTGTATGTGTGGACTTCCTGGACGTGTCTCAAACGTTCATTATTTCCAGGTCATATCCACAGTCTTACTCGACGAGAATCTGGATGAAATCCAAATCTGGATTCGTCTGTAAACAAAACTGTGGCCCAATCATTTGCATCCCAGTTTTGATGTTCTTGATACCACTCTAATCTTCTACCGCGATTGCCTCTCGACAAAGGTGGACATCTAAGTGGCCTTCTGTTGTGGAGATCTGCTTCATGCAGTCGATTTCTGACAGTATCACGACCAATGGTTACCTGGTGCGTCTGCTGCAACACGTTAACCAACTCAGGTGCTGTTATTGTCGGTTGTCTTCTTGCGGTTAAGACGAAAAATCGGTCTTGAACTGCAGTTGTAGCGCGTCCTCGCCCTGGATGTTGTTCGGCTGGACTGCCAGTTTCACGGAAACGCCGCCACAATCGACTGATAACACTTTGGGAGACCCCCAAACGAAGAGCTACATCATTTTGTCGCATGCCACCTTGAAGAAGCCCTACAGCTCTATTCATCTCAGCCAATGGTAAGTGATGGCGTTCCATGTTAAAGCACAATATTTCCAGTTTAATTGCTGAGCAACAACTGCATAGAATGTACAAACTCGACACTTTCAGATTATTCATTTTAGCCGAAAACCTACAGTTTGTAAAAAACTTGATAAAAGATTAGTTACCGTTTTTGCAGGTTTTGTTCAACCCATAGAAATCTACAGGGTGGTCAAGTGTACCAATTTAATCGAAATTAAACGACCTCATGCATTTATTTTTATGATATTTAGTATGTTATAAAAATATCCCTAGACTTTTCCGATGTGTGTATTGAATAATTGAATATTGAATAATTTCTTCAACAATATTCTGTCAACTGAATCTTGTCGAGGGACAAGAGACAACATTTCTTATTTTTATCAATTTCCATTTGGATTTGCGACACTATCATAATGCATTATTATAATTCTATTCTTACCTTTATAAAGCTGATCGGTATGGTTTGTTTTGACTTGCTGTAATGCCTCGCTACTTTATATACTGTTTCTGGGATGTATTCCAACACCAAATTCAGGTACACCTCATCCTTCTAAAAAATAGCACAAATTGATATATAACAATAAATAATGTGTCTCAACCTCGGACGTTTTTATTCATGAAAATGGAAAACTAATTGTTCTAAAATAAGAAACCAATCAACAAAAATACATCTGGAAGGGTAAACACAAACTCAGTTCAATGAGTTGAAAAAAACAAGTCCTTTTTAGTGAAAAGTAAATACAGGTAAAGGGTGAAAACTAAATGATTTGGGTTCGATAATTTGATTACTAAATGTGAAAACTAATAGAGAAAAATAAACATTTTCAAACGGCTTCTACTGTTAAAACGCAAAATGAAGGCCAACTAGGGTTGACTTTAACTAATTCTGAAATTAACTCACACCCCAGTCGTGTTGGTCTACATAAAATATTGAGAAATATCAGGTGTTTCCTACAAGGAATTGCAAAAGAGGGATTCTTTTGTTTGGGTTTATAATTCCATTATTAATAGTAAGGTAGACATTATAGACGTAGGGTAGATATTGTCAACCATGGTCAAATAAAAGTAGGGTTGAAGGTTAGGTGGTAGATCAAGACCTCACTTGGTTATACGTCACATAAAAGTGATTGTAACACAAAAAAAGCCACCTGCACACTTGCAGAGCATGTCATCAGCACTAAACACACAATGAACTACAGCGATGTTAAAGTTTTGTGTAGTGAAAGCAACTTACAAAAACGGTTGTTCAAAGAAATGTTCTTCATCAAAAGGAATACCAATAACAAGAACAAAAAACTGAGCTCAACAACCTCAGCAATATTTACAATTACATCTTAAACTTGGAACTAATTCCTCCAGGTTCCCTAAGCAACAGATAGTGTTTGATTTGGGAGCAGTGCTGAGTCTGTCAAAAAACCATTTACTTCAGTTGTGAGTGTTTGGCAACACTGTACCCAGAGTCAGATACTTTTGAATTTGTTTGTGTCAGCCATGGGGTTAGTGTGCCTTTTGGTAATCTTGTTGTTGTTTATTTCTGTCAAATCATCAAACTTCAAATGTCTTTTCAGAATGTCAATCATCAAAATTCAAATATTTCCTCTTTCCTCTCTTTTTGGTTGCTACCACGCCACCGAGTAAGTGTCAAGCATGGACAGTGAAATAATTTTAAATGTTTATATAAAATAAGTTTTTTTGTACTTTTTCTCTGAAACTTTAAATTGAATGTGTGACACTTTTCTACATGATGAAAATTATTAACTTTGTTTTTCTCATTGCCATATATATGTACCTATAGAATCTTTGCCAACCAGGAATAGGCAAAAAAACAACTTTCGTCCGCATCATCGAATCCCTAGCACATAATATTCATGCTGACGGAATCAAGGGAATTGTGTTACGTTGGCAAAAGTGCCGTGATTCAAATAAGACTCAATACGATTAAATTGAATGAGTATTTACTGAGATATTACAGTTTAAAGTACTCATACAAACGGACAAAATTTTGAAACAACCTAATATTAACTGATAACAATTTCGTTTATCTAGTATTAAGATTATATTTCTTTGCTCACTATTCTGTTATATGATCATAATTTTCAAGTCATTCAAAAACAAGAATGATGTCCATTATAAAAGTTATATTTTAATTATCATTCTCAAGGCCAATCTGCATACACCTTTCTGGGTTATGGTCGGTTAGTTGTGTAATTTGGTACAACAGATGAATAATGAATTCGTGCATAACTGTTGAATTTGTGTCAAAATTTACTACAAAAAAAAAACATAAACCTTCAATAACTCCAAAAAAAAAAACGATAAAGAGAGAGGCCATAGAGAATTTGTTTATCAAGCCAATTAATATGGACAAGGTTTGCTTGGAAGACATCGCAAGGGAAAAAACAACGAAATTACTCTAGTAAAAAAAATACAGGAATGAATATAAATATTTGTATCCACAGAGAAAGATCAGAATTAGCTCTATTTGCGTCTCTTCTCTTACTTCTAATTCCATTGGACGAAAGGGATCTTTCAAGGAAAATTAACTTCAAGAATCATTCAACGCTAAATTGAACACTTTTATGTGCATATCTCAGTTTCATAAATGAATAAACTAAAAGAATTGTTTCCACAACATGGTTTACGCAGGTCAAGTAATACAGAGTCATTTTGAAGTGGATACAGTTTCCAAAATTCAACTTCAATTAGATTCCTACAATGTTTGTGGTATGTTACCACTTGATTTGTCGAAGGCATTCGATACATTGACTCATGATGATGTGCAAAAGTTGAACTTGTCACTAGAAGAATAGTTTATACATGGCTTCAAAATCATCTCAGCAACAGAGAGAATTCTTTAAAAAATCATCAAGTGTGGAGTTCCACAAGGTTCTGTTTTAGATCCAAATCTATTTCTAATTTATATCAGGTCCATTACAGAATTTTATGTGAAAGTTGAAAGGGATATTTTTTTCAGGAGAAAGAGAAAGAAAACAATCGACTTCGAAATGAACTCTTTACAAAGTTTGTGTCTAAAAATAACTTCTATGCATAATCTACACATTTTTCTAGAGTTTATTTTGAAATCGATCGCTTTCTTCCTTCCTCTGGAAGTTTCCCACATTTTTTGAATCCATGTGGTTCGGTCAGTCTTTTTTGCTGATGATATAAGCCAAGCTAAATTTGGCCGTGGTCTGCAAGTTTTATTGACGTTTCGTCGAAGTGATCGAGTTGTTCTCAACATAGAAACTACAACGCAGGAATTTGTCTCCAATTATATATCATCATTAGTGGGCCTGGCTTCGTTTCTCTCGATTTAATGACCTGCCCTTGGGTTGGGCTAACTATCGGGCGCGTCCCCAGGTGACGGATAGGGAAACGACCAGGGAACTGGAGGTTCTGTCCGGGAAGCCAATGTGGCCTTACGGACGGGGTCGCCGGACTCCTGGTCAGTGGCAGAAGTAATTAGGGTGAGGGGAACTAAAACTCCCCAAAATCCTTCGCAAAACATGCCACTGTGGACCAGCCGATCCAAGCTAAGGTGTAAGGAATCCTGCCGAACGAACAGTTACGAACGATCCCCTTGAACTGGGCGAAACCTCATTGTAATCAGCCTACCTCTGGTAATGCGGGGCTCTGCCAGAGGTGACCAACTCTTCCCTGGTTCCTCGTGTGAACACACATGAGTGAAACAACATAAAAACAGAAACAACAAAAACAAAAACCAATCCCGAGGCTGGACAGAAGTGTTCACCTCTAAGTCGGTGGCAGGGGATGAACTGAAATGTCCACCCCAATCTACCGCTTGGAATGAAGCTGGACATAGCAGATCACCTTGTAATTTAATACAAAGGCCAAGACGTAAGAGCATTTGCGGAGCCGAGGCCAAAAGGAGAAAGCGAGCAAAGGAGGCAGGAGTGGCAGCAACTATAAGTGCACCCTCTTCCTCCCCCACTCCACCTCCAACAGCAAGGGCACTTCTTGCAGCGGCCGCCAAGAGCTACGCCTTGAATGAAGACAAGGAACCGGCTGCCTCTGCAGGAAAGCTCCCTCACTTGTGCACCTCCACAGAAGGAACCCCAAGAAGGTTGAAGAAGCCGCGCAACGATAGTAAAGTCGCTGCACCTTTCAAAACCTTCGCAGAGGCCACCGTGAGACATCTCAAGGTTGCCAAAGAGAGTGTGTGTTCGGCGAGTCTTGGCCTACACCTGCCGATATAAAGGAGATGTCTCCTAGTGACCTGTTCACCTTCTTGGAAAGGACAGGATGGACGATGACTTAGAGGGACAACTCCTCGGGAGGATGTACGAAGGGTCACATGTGGCCTGAGTGCTGTGGGCCTACACTTAACCCTCCCTACTCTACAGATTGAATGACCTCTACTTATTTGGGTAAAATTACGGATAGGTAGCCAGATTTTATTAATGTTCATTGCCTCTTCTTTCCTATTGAAATTATCCCTGTATTTCTTAATTTCTATTGCCTCTGTATATATTTTTCGGTAGTAATTTTGAGTGCCATCTTTGAGAACATGTTCCACTAAAGATGGTATGTTTCGATGAAATCAATTCAATTCAAGATCATAATATACTTCAAATACAAAATATATAATAATTTCACAGCCACACAAAAGCAAATTTGGTCAAAAACTTATTTTTCATGGTGGAGTTGATAAATATGATGAAATTCCTAACAATATGAAAAATGAAATACTTGAAATAACTATAGACCTATTTCAGTAGTTCCGACTCTGTCAAAAGTAATAGAAGTTATTTTGAAGAAATGTATTATCAATTACATGAAAAAAATGTGTTGCCTTTGACAATTACCAATATGGATTCCAAGAAAATAGTAGCACACTGAGTGCAACTATAGACTTCATTAACCACATTGCTTCTTCACTGGATGATAAATACTACACTATTGCTGTATTTGTTGGTCATCGAAAAGCATTTGATGTTGTTGATTTCTCTATATTACTTGAAAAAATGGGAATAAGAGGAAATGCTCTCTCTTTACTGAAAACATATATTCGCAAACAATTCACAATGGTTGATGGCATTTCAAGGCAAACTGAAACTACCAAAGCAGGTGTGCCCTAAGGCTCAGTCCTTGAACCCCTACTCTATACATTACATGTTCTGTCACTGAAAACTGCTAACATTATAGCTAGATACTTTAAATTCGCACATGATACTGTTCTTGTATATAAGGGTGAAGACTTGAAACAACTCGAAACACTAGTAAATACCGACCTTGAAAAGTATCACAGATGGCTTGCAAAAAATAAACTTCAGATCAATGTAAAGAATACAACTTTTATAATCTTCTCTCAGAAAAACATGAAACAACAGGACATCCTAGTGGAGATAGGAGGCAAAGAAATAACGAGAGTCTATAATACCGAATATCTGGGACTAATAGTAGATGAAAACCTATGCTGGAATAACCATATCACCCATGTAGAAACAAAAGTAATTCCAATGGTTAGTGTCCTATATCGTTGTAGAACCTACTTACGCCTATCTTCACTCCATCAAATATACAGTGCATATTTCTTATCAATTTTTAGCTATTTAATTCCTATATGGGGTACATGTTGACAGACATTATTCAAAAAAGTAAAAATATTTCAAAACAAAGTCGTGAAAATGTTATTCAGGCTTGACTACAGAACCTCAGCTGATACTTTATACAGTGTAACCAAGATACTGCCTATTCAGGATGTTCTAGAAATCGAACAAGGTAAATTTACATACAAGGTTATACATGAACAAGTCAAATGTAATACCAACTTCACTTTCGTTAATCTGCTCCACGAATATAATACTCGTCGTACCCATTATAATGTCTTTTTAGAACCTGTACGTACTAATATTGGCTTAAATAATCCCATTACACATCCCAATAACAGATAGCCCCAATTTCAGAATCTTTAAGAATAAAATAAAGAGTTTTTATACTAGCATACTCAACGAAGGAACGGCTTAAATCTATTTAATTCTCTGTATTAATTACTATCAAGTTTTTTATTTTATTCACATTTGTCTTATGTATTCTCAAGTGAATCTTGATAATATTATTTTGTTGTACTGCATAAAGTATTATTATATTGTTTTTAGCTAGTTTTCCGAGACCAGCATGTTGATGCTGTTTTGGATAACTTTTTTTTTTGGATAGTGCTGCTATCTCAATTACTATTCAAAATGTTTATTGTAACCATAATTGCATTATCTGAATAACGTTCTAAAAAAAAAGTTCAAGACACCACTAAATTTTGAAGTAGAATGACAAATTTGTAATTTTATTTTTTTTATTTGTTATATTATTCTCAGTATGGTTTTTCAATATGTGTGTTACCTTATCCCTTCTGTTTTTTAGGGATTAATACATTTATTTATTTTGGTCTCCAAAATTTGTTTTAATCCAGATTGGGTGCTAATATAGGTTATTTATACCTGATCACCTGATATTTCTCAATTTTTTTGTGGAACGAGCCGGTAAAAAATAATGACAATTTATGTAGGACAGACATTTTGACATAACATTTTTTCCTAAGTATGTTAAGAAGGTCAGAAAAACAAACAACTAGTCAAAATATTCAAGAAGCTCAAAATGTCATGATATGAACTTTTAAAACGTGGCCTAGCCCATCAGTTGTTTATCAATTCAAGCGAAATTTCACTAGCCAGGGGGTCAAATTATGCTACAAAATATAAAAGCAGGTGCATACCTGCTTGCTCAAAACTGTAGCCATGAATATGGACATATCGCAGGGTACTGCGGCCTGCTATACACAAAAACTCAAAATAACATATTTTCAGAAGTGATTTGCTCAGTGTAAATTATCAGTGATACATTGTATCTGTGAAATACCTCGTTACTTATTCGTTCAATTTTTTCCTTGCATTTCTAACAACTCCTGATGGATTATACACATACAATACACCTTTGACAATTAAGAACGTATGAATGAAAAAACAACTTACCTTATCTCCACTGGAGTAAAAGAAATATTTAAGTTTAACTATATTACAATGTTCTAACTTCCTCATGATTTGAAGTTCTCGGTTCTGAAATAAATGAAACATTTTTTATCAATAGATGTTCGACAAAGATTACGTGGACTGATCAAAAAAATAAAGTGAATGTTCAAATTTCGCTGGCTACGTATATTCGATTAGCATGTTTAGTTTGTTAGTGAGAGGCGTAAAAGTTGAAAGTCTTTTGCGTGTTCGGCGATTTTCTGCTATCGAAAAAAATGAATCAAAGGAAAACATCCTGTAGAATAACAATTCGTGGCTTTTGCATAAGACACCTGCTCACTCGTAATTTTTTGGCCAAAACACCGTAAGTATGCTTCAGCCACCGTATTCACCAGATTTGCTCCCCTGTGATTTTAAAACCGAGTCGCTGAGATAGCTCAAGGACATACCAAAAAGTGCATCAAGGATAGGAAAAAACGCTGGCACAAGTATGTTATATCTGAGGGGGACTACTTCGAAAATAACAAAATAGAAATCGATGTATAAATAAATATTTTTTGTTTATTAGTCAGTGGGTTATACTTGAAGACTGGCAGTAAACAATTCTAAATGAATGGACTTTAAACGTTCAACCTACTGTGTAGGTATAATCGAGACTGGCTTGAACGTTTAAAGTTCATTTTTTTAGATTTGTTTACTGCCAGCTTTCAAGCATAGCTCACTGACTGATAAGAAAGTTATTCTTCCTTATTCAGAGGAATCGGGCAAATTACGGATATGCAGTTGGTTATTACCTCGATCACTAGATGGAGTGACATTTTATTGTTCTCTCCAACTTAGGAAGAGGAATGAAATACTCTGAAAGAATTCCGATTTTCAATTGTGGAATATCATTGACCTTAGGTCGATAATGGCCACTATCTTGCACTGATGAGTGGCTAATGAGCCCGAAACCGGTCTGCAAGTGTGCCCGTTCCAAAATTGAAGGTCGACTCTTTCAGTTGTATTGCCAATTGCATATGCAGGAAATTTTCTGTGAAGATTCCTGCACTGACGCCTGTCGGATATAATCCAAATCCCTTAGTGGTATTAGCCAGGGGAGTAGTTGTAGGCGTCAGTCCACTCGACCTTCTGTGTTTCTGTGTAGCTATATTCGAGATTGGTTTGAACGTTCAAAGTTCATTTCTTTAGAAATATTTCTTGAGAAAAATGAAAATTCACCTTATTTTTTGAACAGATAGCGTATATGATACATGCAGATGGTGTCACATTATATTATTACGTTTTTATGTAAGATTGAGGACACATTGAACATTTTTTTACTGGCACAATAAAATTTACATGGAACTGAATTGTTACATCTTCTTTGGAAAGTGTTTACAAAGACTCAATAATTCCGGTTTCAAAACACTAAGTAATCCTCTATTCAAAATGATTAAGTAAATAAAAGCATACATTTATATTTTATGGATTATTTCATTTATTAATTTTTATTTTCCCACAAAATGAAACGTGGTTATTTTAATCATTTCTTATACTTTTGAAAAAAAAAAGTTTTTTCTTCAATAAATATTTTGCTCTTTCAAGGCCTTTTTAAAATTTTGAATAACTGCCATAGTTTTTTAGATGTTCACAAAAAACGAACACCACCTTTTTTTGTTCAACTAAATTGTTAATAACCTGTTCAACTAAATTGTTAATACCTAAACTATTTGCTTGCGCAACTTGTCACTTGGCAATGAGACCTCAATCATAATTTTTACTGAAGCCGAAGTCAAATTTTGAGATATGGACTAAGGAACTAAACCATTTGTTGTAAATTCACAAGCGATACGGAATTTTACATAAATTCATCCCAAAGGTAGCCAAAGTCTTTTACTGTTAGTTCACATTTTACTCTGAACACTACATATAATTTTTTTATCGACATTTTGATGGAAATTCTCGATTTATAAATAACAAATCTACAATTTTGACTCCTATATAGTAAAACTTGGGATTTAGGTCCCAAACAAATCCGTTGGAGTTATGTGGTTATTGTCAGACCAATGATCAATGGCAATCAATGGCAAATCGCCAAAAACTACTCTCTTCAATAGAAAGACTTAACAAATCATTACCTTCCAGACTTAACAGGCCTGGAAGGTAATGAGGCTACTGACTCCATTGCAAAGGAGGGTGCTGGCAGCAGCTTCATCGAACCAGAACCTGTCATTGGCATCGCAAATATTGAACACCTGGATGGCAAGAAGATTTATGGACTTCTGGCAGAATCTTCCAGGATTGGTTCACTCCAAGGAGTTTATTCACCTTTCGAAGCTTGATACCAAACAGTTGTTGGACTACAGTAGGGATGAGCTACGATGTCTAACAGGCCTTCTTGTAGAGCACATACATTGTGCATGCCCTGCTGCGGACCGAATCAGTTTGGCAGAGACGCACTCTTAATTTGAAAGATCACTCACCATATAAACTAATCGGCTTCGTTAAGAAGCTGGGTTTATTTGATCGCGTTTGAATAAATAAACCCTTGCGGGTTGAGGTGGAGGGTGGAACTGACCCGCTCACTTTTGACCTAACCTAACCTTACTGGAGTTTAATCCCAACACCACCAAGTGATCATCTTCAAGAAGAAGATTAAACTGTTTGGTGCTGTGGATTAAATTCATTACTACACCAAACAGTGCATGACAACTAACCTAACCTATATAGCTTCCCAATTACTCTTATCATCTTGAAAATGCTTATTCAGAGTTCCCGAAATTTGACAAATAAAATACTAACCTTGAACCTCTTATCCTGTAAAACTTTTTTGATTGCTACGAGCTCTGAAGTCTCGCATAGTTTGGCCTGATAGACAACTCCGAAGCTGCCGTTGCCTATAACTTTGGTGTCAGTGTAGGAAACTTCTTGCGGTCTATCCGGCCCTTGTCCTGGTGTCGCTACAACCGTGGTCACCTTGCTCCCGTCCTTGCCTATGTAGCCGCCACCAAGAAGAAAAAAAAATTATTAAATTACAGGACAATAACCATCGAGTCATTGATGAAATAATTGGCTTTCAGTGAGCGACACTCAAGATATGTATTGATCTAGTGTTGTAAATTATCCCTTGGAAATTGTCCGCTTTTTAATATATTGTTGACAAATTGATTTGCAGGTAGTGGTTCCACTAGTTAATTACCGAAAAATCAATTAGGATAATCATCATTTAACAAACAAAGTCCACATTGGACCAAAAAACTTTAGATATATAAACAGCTAACCCTTGTCTTTAGATTCAGTATCGATTTGCTTCTCCTGAAGATGCTAACCTTGTTAGCGAAACGCGCATCGAGTGCAAAAATATCAGTTTGGTGTTAGGGTAATTGATCTCTAGAAAAAGTTTTCAACAATCGGTTTGCAAAACCACTCACTACCTCACTTAACCCCACGAACACACGGCACTGATAAAGAAATATTGTGAAACGGACAAAACATTAGTATTCAGCCAGTCCAGCTAGCCGAGCCTTTATTCCTCAACTAAATTTGATAGCGCGTTTACTAACTATCTGGGCGTCTAGGGGCCACAGACAAGAAATGTTTATGACTGTACTCTTATTTTTATTGCCGTTCCAATTGGGAATGGATAGACTATACCAAGAAATGTCTCATTCGAAATTGAGAAAACTGATGACGTTGAAAATTTCTGTTGTATTATCGAAAATATTCATTTAAATTACATGCAGTGAAGAGCCATATTGACTTATATCAAATGCACAATGTACACACATCGGAAAAGTCTAGGGGTATTTTTTAAAATGGAAATAATTTTTTTTTAGATCGCTTTAGGGAAAAAAAGTTGACGGGTGATTATTAAACGAATGTAACTTACAACAAAATTTATTAAATGGTCAAAAAATTTGTAAAAAACTTGATAAAAGATTAGTTACCGTTTTTGCAGGCTTTGTTCAACCCATAGAAATCTACAGGGTGGTCGAGTGTACCAATTTAAGCGAAATTAAACGACCTCATGCATTTATTTTTATGATATTCAGTATGTTATAAAAATATCCCTAGACTTTTCCGATGTGTGTATTTAACACTCCGATGCACGACGGTGGTCTGTCTATTAGTTTCGGCAAAATACAATAAACCTTGGTATGTTTGAAATAAATTTAATTTAGATCTGCCATCTTATGTACCTGTCATGTATTCAAAAAGGTACAATTTATACTTTATTTTACCCTAATAGCTTTTTTTGCATGTTTGGATTTCATACCTTTGACCCAATAGACCACCGTCAACCACATATGTAATTTCATTTGAGAATGATGTCATTTGACGGCGAGAGAGTTTGCAGGGTTGTTATTTCATAAAAATTATTGTTAGCAGATGGCAGTGCAATCTAGGTAGATCCACGGTTTGATGTTTGGAGAAATATTGCTATGGATCGCTAGTTTGTCAGTTGCGATCTCGTCCCAAAAATTGAAGACAGAACATAGTCACCATCGTCGGTACAAGAAAAAGCAATAAAGTAGAACTGCTGCAAATTTTAACAAATACTAAAGATCGTCCTGTAGGCTTCTACATTTTTTGGTTTGGTGTTCATATAATGGCATCTTCTTATGTGCCCAGAAAGATAAAGAATGTGCTGATGATATCTTCGTTTCACAACAGTGATACAGTCAATTCAATAACTGGTAAACCAGAAGTTATTTTATTTTATAATACTACTAAATGTGGAGTCGATATTGTGGATAAAAAGATCTCCAGTTATAATGTTGCAAGGATAAGGAAAGGATGGCCTTTAGTTCTGTTTTACGGTATTTTGAACATAGCTAGCATAAATGCATTTATAATTACCAGGCACAACGACCCGAATCAGAATCATAGTGAACAGAGAAGATTATTCATCGAGAATTTGGGTTTGGCGTTAATAAAAGACCATATGCAGTCCAGAGCTACTATGTCAGGTTTACATTCCTACATTCGAAATGTAATAGCTAAACATACTGGAATCGACACTGAAGAAAAACCTGACCCTTCACCCAACAAAAGAGAACACTGCAAGAATTGCAACAAAAAACTCGTTATTTTTGTAAAGCTTGGCTCTGTACGAGTCACGGGTACTGTCAATTCACGTCAATGCAGTTTCTGCGGTGGCGCAGTAATTTTCAATTTTTTATTAAAATTTTGTTTTTTGATCATTTATTTCTCCAATTGACGAATTATTTTATCTCTGTATTCATTACTTCTTTTTATAAAGGATTATTCTAACAATAAAGCATGGTTTTTGCATTTATCAGTTTTTTTGTGTGTTGATTATCGAAAGTAAATATATTGTTTCGTCAAGTTATTGAAAATACCTTAAATAAACTTACGGAAACAACTTTTTGAAAATATCCAAAAATTTGGGGTGAAAATTTGTTATATTTGAGTTGGTCCTAATAGACCACCCTCGTGTAAGGGTGTTGGTCCGTCCATCGGAGTGTTAAGGTACCTAATTGGATGAGGATTAATGCTGTATTGCTTAAAATCGCTTCGTAAATAATCCATTTAAAAAGTAAAGGATAAGAAATGGTTGTTGTGGGTTATCCCTAAGAGATACAGACATATACCATCGCATAATTTTTTGTAGGTGTACAATAGTGTAGTACATTATTTTGATCTATTTCGTAGGGTTCTGCCAGCGTTTGCAATGTAAGCGCAAAAAATGTGTTTATTTCCGACATCACATTAGAAACCTCTAAAATTATCAGTGTTTCTCTACTATATTATGCATGTTGTATACATATAAACCTTCCTCTGAATCACTTCATCTATCAAAAAACCCACATCAAAATCCGTTGCGTAGTTTTAAAGATCTAAGCATACAGACGGACAGAAAGCGGGAAGCGACTTTGTTTCATACTTTGTATTGATGGTTTACTATATTGTACGATAAAAACATCTTTATATCAACCACACACACTAATATACACGACCTACTTTTGACAACATTTACGATTTCGCGGTCAAATCGAGGTATCAAAACATCAATCCTAACACTAGAGCAGTCCGTCTTGCCACTTCACGAATGTCATTATAAATCAGTTCCAGGAGCGAAGAAAAAAACACACAAGCGGGTCCTTGATCAAAATAAATCAATTTGCACCATATTCGGAATTGGAACGAAGGCACTGCCATTGATCAAAGATCAAACAACGATGTTTATGTTGAGCGAAGGCAGGAAAACCTTGTAACAGGTGTAATCAGTTCGTCGACACACTTTGGCAACAAAAGTTTAGTGTTCATTTATTATTAGCGAATACTTGTCAAGTTCGCAAACAAAACATGCTCAGAAATGAAGTTAACTTGCAATGCAAATAGCAAATGAAAATAAATGAACATGTAAACAATAATGAAACGAAATTGTTCGAAAATAAGATGTTTTTCCAATAAGGTTGAGTTGAAAAACAACTCAATAATTGAAAATCTAATGAGGCAGTTGTATCATCAACAGGCAAGAATGACTTCAGTGAAGAATCCTGCACTGACAATAAACTAATTTTCCTTTATTTTGAGTATTTCAATATTAAATTCTACAAAAAGGATTTGAAGCTTTATATCTTCTATTAATTATCTGCGAGCGCTTTCGACAGTTGGTAGTACTGTCTTCATCTGGCACTCCTGGAGTGCCAGCAATGTCTTACATTGAGAAGTAAGGGCGAAAAGTGGGAAGATCGAACGTCAAAAGGAAATTACTTCCTACCTAGTAAACTACATTGTTAGATTTTTGGATCTGTGTTGTGAGGGAGCACAAATAACTGTCTCACACTGCTATTTATGTCTCACCAAGTATTTATGTGAGAAAGGGTTCTCAAGTTTAACTTATCTTAAAAATAAATACAGAAATAAATTAAATATGTATAAAATGTATGAATATAAATTTCGTAAGCAATATATCTTTGTTTTTATTTAAACATTTCTAATTGAGTTACACGGGTTAAATCTATACTAGATAGAAAACCTTAAAGCCTTTAATATGGTTATATTTTTTATTATTGAGCAGGAGTACTCAAAATTTTTTGGTGCTAAAAAGGGGTACAGCGTCTAAAAAAGTTTGGGAATCCCTGGGTTCGAGTATAAAATGGTTGTAATTTTGAAGTAACTGTCAGTTTTTGCTTGAGAAAGCTATTGTATAGCGAAACACGTGTCCTGGTTTTTGTAAAACCCTTTATAGTGAAAATCATACAATAAACTGTATTAATTAGTTTTTTACAAGCTTCATACGTTTCTTTTTTGTCGGCTGCAGGTGATAATCAGGTAGACTTGGAAATGATTTGGCCAATACACCTGAGAATTTGTTGTGTCAAGAAATTAACTTCACTGATTCACATAACCTCACAAAACTGAGACAACAATCCTTCAATTCAAACTCCTTCTTGAATCTTAATAATTTATATATGATATCCAGAAATGTCAAGATCATAATCGAAACTCATTCGTATAATGAGACAGTTTTAATTCTAATGGACACTCTGAATTTCAATGAAATCGAAAAGAATACGCGACGTATTGGTGATGAACCTAACCACGTCAAGTAGGTCGGCTATAGTTGACGAATAAGAATTTATTTATTCACTTCTCTGTATATTCCTTGTTATTCAGGAAATGAAATTGATTTAATTTGACATTTTGTTCTTATATCGATGCGTTCAGCTGAGAATATTCCAGGAAATACGATTACCACTCGACATAGAAATTTGCTCAGATATATATCAATTTTTTTAGAACTGAAATCTTCGTTTTTTGAGCAAGGCGAATTGAGTAACCAGCAATAGATAAAATCGCTCGTCGTACGGATTCGTGGCTTCCTATTCTGGTTGTTCACATAGTTTTTGTTGAAAAATGGAAATTCTGGATAAAATTGTGGAGTGTGGTATTTTTGTTACAACTAATTCTCATATATCATTTCTGTCTAATGATAAAGTTGAAACAAGCCAGAAATCACCGAATGCATAACAGTTAG